CTGATAACCAATCTAGGGGGGGGAGGCCTTTGTTCAACGGTGGCTTTTGGAGGCTGTAATGGTATCGAATCAGAAAGAAATATGAATAATGAAATTATTTTACTATACGCCCATAATATCATGAAGTATCAATGTTGTGTCTATTTTTATTATCATCAAAAACCTCCATTTATTGATTTGTTCAAGCTTTATCATAACGAGGTCAACAGACAGTGTAACATTCTGAAGTTATTAGTTAAGAGGTAAAGATTTCTTGGATATTATGTTTATTATTCTCTAATTAGACTATTTAACTGAAATTTGCTACATATTGGATTTCCCATTGTAATCAAAAAGTTTGCTAAAATACGTATGAAGAGAACTTTGAATGTTGTTAGAAGTTTTGTGTAATTATGTAAGTTGAAAATGTGAATTTTTGTTTGGAAAGACATTGCAATAATTTTAGTCTCAAAAGATAGGTTTAGGTTCAGAAATAATATTTCAATTAGAATTATGAAAATCGAATAATCCGTTTAGGAGATATAAACAAAGAAAGAGAAAAAAGAGAAATGTAAAAACTGTATTTTTTACGTGGTAGAGCCACGTTGCAGCTATACTATAGTTGTAGCACGAAAGAGTCGGCTTGACCAGGGAAGGACATAACTATTGGTGTTTTATATAAGAGAGGGATAAAACCTGTGATAACAATTAATAAGGTTTAGAGCTACAATTGTGTCAGTCGGACTCAAGCTGTCAGCAGAGCAACAAGGAAGAAAAATCAAGAATAAATACATGACACCTGGATAACTGTTTTCTTTCAACAAAAACGAGAGAAAAGAAGTTGAATAAAGGCGCCTGCAAGGTATAGCCTTTACCAGTAAAAAAAAAAGTTTAATTAAAAATGTTTATTTCAATTACACAATGTTTTAACATCATGATCTGGAGAATAAGTTTTAAGCAAGGAGATGCTTGAGTTAGGTGACTCCGCTCTTCCACTTAACATTATACAGAGTATGCAATTGATATCAAGATAAAAGAAATAAAAAACAAGATAAAAGTACAAAATACAAAAAAGCTATGAAGCGCACAGTGATGTCTGTGTGTGTGTATGTGTGTGCGTGCGTGCGTATGTGCGGTGTGTGTGTGTGTGTGTGTGTGTGTGTGTGTGTGTGTGTGTGTGTTTACATTGTGTATATGAGTTAAATCATTATGCATGTGTGTACATATAAGTTTTAGTTTTAGGTTATCCTTGCGACAATATAAGCTAGGCACTGCTTCTTCCAGTAACGGTTTCGTTACTGAGGTTATAACGGTTTCTAGACAGATTATGATAACGATGATACCATTGCCTCAATATCATCGTAGGTTTTAGTCTTAAGCCATTCAGTGACAATTAATTTACAGTCACGAAGTTTAGAGGATAGATGTGTTGTTAAGGACATATCGATTAGATCTTAGATGTAGAAGTCGCGTCCGGACCGCGTTCGCCGCTGGCCACATCCGCCGGTCGTCGGCTTCCGCCCGGGAGGGAGAAGTACAGCGCGTCGCTTCGCAGTGGGTGTACGTGCTGTGGGGCAAACTCGACTTACGTTGAGCCTCGAGGACGCCACTGACCCCACCCGGGACGTTACGTCCTCAACACTGCGTGTCAGATAATATGCTGGGAAGCGAGCTCCACAGGCCCGGCGTGAGGCTATCTGGAGAGCGCACTCCTGTTGGTGACATCAGCTCCACGTCGAGATCCATCTCCGTGGGACCTGGAAGTCACTGACCCTTCGGCAGATCCCTTCCCAGAGGCGCGAGATACGCCAAGTATGCCTAGGAACCAGCCAGGCCATCACCTAGAGCTAGGGAGGAGCACCTGAGGCCCGGGGTGCGGCTATCAGGAGCGCACACCTGCCGGCAGGATTGGCCCTGCGTCGAGACCCGTTCTCTGTGGGACTCCGTGGGGCTTCGAGACAGCTGATCCTCCGGAAGTACCTACCCAGTGGCGCGCAATAAGCCAAAGAAGATAACCAATAATGCCGTCCTGTACGGCTCTCAGGAAGTAAACTTACCTTTAAACGAGCAATTCTTGTAATATATATATATATATATATATATATATATATATATATATATATATATATATATATATATATATATATATAATTGGAATCTCGGTAACAGCTCTAAAGATTTTCATAAAATTTAGTGTCCAGGGAGTTTCGGGGGTAATAAGGCGATCTAGCTAAATTTTGATACTGTGTTAATGATCGTAATAGCTCAAGTGGATACCGAGCGGTCGCGAAATCGTAAAGCCTTGGTTCGCGTCCTGTCTTCTGTCCGACTTTTTTCCTTTTCTTTTCAAGTTCCCTTCTTTTGTGAGAAAATCTATATATATATATATATATATCGAGCCCTTTTTTAGTATTTTTTAAAAATACGAAAATTTTAATTAAACTAATTGCACTCATGAAATAAGTAGTTCAGTTTTTTCTATTATGTCATAAAATCAAAAAATATTATTTATGTTTCATCTGTATGTAATGTGTATCTAAATGTAATTTCAAAATAAAAAAACCGAGCAAAGCTCGGTCATCCAGGTACTTAAATATTAGCAAACATAGACTTATACATAGAAAAAAATTACATTTGTTTCATTCATTACTACTTTCATTTTGATAAAATGCGTAATTATTTCATAGGCTTAAATTTTAATATTTATTGTTGCGCGCCTAAGTTGACGGCTGGTACCCGGCATTATCGCCATCTAGTGTCGGGGACCAGAGTGAGGAGGGCTTCCTAGAAAATGTCAATCTTGACTTTCGACCAACAGCGCCATTTAGTATCGAATTGAATGACTAAGCTTTCTAGAAGCACACTCGAACTTTCGGCGCCTGGTCGGTTGGCGCGCGTATTTACTTGAATATTCTGGATGTTTCAGTGAAAAAGAAAGCCAAACACAAAGGCAAACAAAAAAAAGGGAAATTAGCCAGCTCAGTATTTTGCAAATGTGGGGGAGAAAAATTGTTAAGAGTAACAGAATACAAAGGTTTACAATTCCCGCGAAAAAAGGTTCATATGGGCGCCCACAATGGCGCTAGTCCTTGTTATGTAGTAGAGTTGGATATTTTCTTTTTAAATCTTTACATTCGCCACGTGTCGGGACCTTTTTATTGCTTTAGAAACATCGATAATTCCTACTATTTAGTACTAAAATTAGCAAAACTGGATCACTTGTAGAGACACGTTGGTATCTGTGTCTTTATTGGCAATAGTATAGGCTACAGAAACACAAGTTAGTTTATCAGAATCGCATAAATTTCATACGTCGAGCAACACTTTTTTATATCAGGCTTCTGATGTGTCTTTATTTACGGAAAATTGTCCTGGAATCGGAAATGCGTTATTATATTCATTATTAAAGTGGATATAGTCTTGATAAAATAAGGTTTAATTTCAAGGTCTTTATCAATATTGGTCACATTGTATATTGATTAGCACCACATGCCAGTATTTTTTTACGTTCGAGTAGACTTCAAAATGTCATAAATGTAGTTCTATTCACGGAGAACGTGTGAGAAGAACTAAATTCATGAACAGGAGTAGAAGTTTACATAAAATGGGCAGCAGGGTCTTCCTGATCATAGCTCAAAATATTAAAAATATGCAGTTGGCATCTCGCATGCCAAGCGTGGCAACTATGGCAAATATCCAACTTTATTACCTAATGGATATCCAACTAATGAACGGGAGTAGAAATAATATATAAGCCATGTAGAGGTGGCAAAAAAGAAACCACTGCTCCATTTCGTCCCGTGGGTGTCTTAAAAGGCGACAGAGGGAAACTGAAATAGGAGATGGGCAGCATCTTCTTGATAACAGCGCAAAGTAGTAAAGAGCTGCGGTTGCCAACCCGCTTGCCAAGCGTGAATACTACTGCAAATACCCGGTCTATTTGACAAACAATGGGGGAAACCTATGATCAGCAGTGGAAAGCCCTATTGAAAGTAAAAAAGTAGGAGCCTAAATACATCTCACAGCCAGCCAGGCCACAGCGAGTTTTAGGTCAAAAAGGAGTTGATTAAGTTGAATCCTACGCTGGATGACCGACTTCACACGTATAGGTAATACCTAAAAATGATTTCCGAAATATTTTTTAACATCTCAAGTATGCAGATTTCCAGCGATGTTTTTCTTCACCACCGAGAACGTGGTAAATCGAAACTTCAAATTGCAGTTAAAATATAAGCGGAGTCGGCGCGGATCTAATTGGAGTTTCTAAACGCAAATTTCATATTTGGACGTACCAAATATGAAATTTACGTTTAGATCGGTTTGATTACAGGCTTGATACAGATGACTTTCAAGATTCTATCAATGCAGTTCTACTCATAGTTAATATAAAAATAAACCCGTGTTTAAAATTTGCTTTCTTTGATATTAATAGTATTTTTTATAAGAACTTGTTCATTTACTCATGTGCGCTATTCAACCAAAACTGTCACAAAAATTTTAACAGTTATGTCTGAAAATATGAAAGCTATCTTAATACATGACAAACTGCTTTATAAATCTCATTAAAAGTAAATTTCAGTCGCACGCAGAACGGCAAAGCGCGTACACGTGTTCGCTTTGAGCGTAAGCGAAAGGTCATTGTACGATAAGATAATGGCGTTGAAAGTGGTAAAATGTACAAATTGTAATATTGTTATAAGCGAAGTGCTTGCCTTTATACAAAACAAGGCAGATGTGATGGACGGGGAGAGCATTTTCCGAATATGTAGCAGTGTTTTTACAGCTGAAGATATCACTAATGCAAAAAGTTCGAGTCATTGCCCTCAGGTTAAAGAAAAAATATAAGACGTAGAGATGAAAAATTAACATAGAAGAACACAGAAGACATCATTAGTCTTTTCAAAGATACAGACCCAACCTAGATAGTGCACTCTTTTTTGTTGCTCGTGACCTACAAAAACTTCCGCCGATCACTTTCGATCATGTGGATGTATGTAACTCGCTTGCTGAAGGACATAGATTTGTTGCAACAGGAGGTTAAGATCATCAAGGATAATTATGTAACCAAAGCGCACCCGGAAGAGCTAAAGAAGGATAAATCTTTCTTAAAAACATCAACATCACCAGCTCATCATCATAAGGTAGGTAGAAGGTGCAGTGCCTTCTTGTTAGATGTGGGTGCTACGTTCGGTGCCAGTGGGCCGATGGGCTTGTCGCACGAGTTATCAGCAGCTGATGTACCGTTACAAACAACTGACGTACAGACAAAGACGGAAAAGATATATACAGCACAAGTAGCTAGTCGTGCTCGTGATAGTGCCGATGTACTTGCACCTGCGTCAGACATGCATAAGGCTGACCTCTTTACATCTGGAGGCGTGACTGCTTATAACGGTGCGGATGGGCGGCAATCATCATCAGGCAAATCACAGCGCAGGAGGCGCTAAAGTAACTCCTATTCCAATGCACAACTCACCGAGTAAAAGCAGGATAAATGACGACAAAACAATTGTAGTGAATAAGTCTACTAACAATAATACCGCAATAAAAGATACATCTTGTGACGTTAATTTTGAGACTTCACTAACTATGGCCGAAATATTGAAAAAAGATAAAGCTTGGAAAAATGAAGAACCGCCAGAAGCCTGGATAAAAGTTCAAAAGCACAGATTGCGTAACCGTTTTATAGGTAAGACTGGAAAAGTAGAAATAAAACCTGAGGAGAAATTTAAATCAGCGGACCTGAATATTCCCCTATTTATATCTAACGTACATAGAGAGACGCTAGAAAAAGATATCGTCGATTATATTAAGAATAAAACTAACAAGTTAGTCATACTAGAAAAAGTGACTATTAAAAAAGACAAAGGATATAATGCCTTCAAATTATATGTGTCCAAATAAAAACTTGCTGTCTTTTTAAATGACAATCTTTGGCCGGACGGCATCTCATTCAGAATTCAGAAGATTTGTGCATTTTAAGTATAGACATCAGAAGACCTCAGATATATATATATATATGTATAGTACAGCAAAATTTACTCCTTTCAACTGTAAATCTGTTAAACGCTCTTTGGAATGCGTAAGACACCTGTGTGAAAAGTCTGACGTGCTAGCGATACGGGAAGTACATTGCTTATACCTGATGACATAACGTTTGTAGGCGAGATACATCAAGACTTCAGCTGTACTGGTAAGTCAACAGTTGATACATCGTTCGGTATACTCACAGGCAGACCATACAGTGGTGTGGCCCTCTTGTGGAGGAAAAACGCGTTTGGTTGTGTCAGTGTGGTCGAATGTAGTAATGTGCGTCTCACGACAATTAAAGTGTTCCACAGTGTTTGCCATAGCACATTCCTATCCACTCTGTCATAAGCCTTCTCCAAGTCCATGAACGCACAAAAAACCTTTTGGTTTTTGGCCAAAAAACTTCTCCGCGATCATGCGCATGGAGAAGACTTGATCTGTACATCCCATTCCCTTTATAAATCCCGCTTGCACATCCCAAATTTTTCCATCGGTTTCTTTCATGACCCTTTCAATTAGTACCTTGGCATACAATTTTTCCACGATGCTAAGAAGGCTGATACCGCGGTAGTTTTTACATTCCTGCTGCGACTCTTTTCCCTTATATACTGGGACTATCACGGCTTTGCACCAGTCTCCCGGTACCCGCTTCAGTTCCCAGCATACATTAAACAAGGTGTGCAGCAGGCCTGCCACCACTTCCTCTCCAGCCCTTAGCATTTCGAGTGAAACTCTATCATAACCGGCAGCCTTCCCTGCTTTCATGCTTTTCATTGCTTTCATTATTTCATCTATACTTATCTCGCTACCTCCTTCCTCTTCTTTCGGAGTTCCTATTTCATTCAGTTCATACGTTGTCTCCTCACTCATAAACATGCTTTCAAAATATTCCTTCCATCTCTTTAAACTCAAAACTTCATCATTCAGAATATAGCCATTCTCATCTCTTATAGCATTCATTATAGGCTGTTTTGAACGTCCCCCTGGCAGTTCTTACGAGTTTCCAGAACATTTTAATATTTGCCTGGAAGTTATCCGATATTCTTCTATCATTCTTATCCGTTCTTTCTTGCTTTTTCCTTTCAACTACTTCTTTTACTCTTTTATTTAGATGTCTAAAGACTGCCTTTTTTCTTTCAAAATCATCATTCGTACCGCTAGAATTACCAGCCTTAGTTGCTAGTAAATATAGCTATGCTCTCTTCTTTGCTTCAACTTCCGTACGTATCTCATCGTCCCACCACAAAGTAATAAAATGACACTTAACGATTATCGATTAGCTAATGATAACTAAACTTTTACCCGAAAAAAATACTTCAGTGGCTGTTCCAACCGGCTCAAGCAGAGCAAGAACGAGCAGAGAAGTGCCACACAAACTCGGTAAAATAACTGCGAGAAATTCCAAAGGGAACATCAAGCGCAAGATGTGCCGCATGTGCTCAAAATCTCAAAAGAAACAGAGAGACTCTGTGTACCTGGTTTGTGCTTTGAGTGTTTTGACGAATTCCATTAGTCCATCAAGATTTTATTTTGACATCATAGCTGTTTATTATATTACAGCTCTGTTAGTAGCATTACTATTTTTTACAAGTTTTATTTTGTGTTAGAAGCTGAAGAGAAAGATTTTTTGTTTCGTCGTTTTTTTTCACTGTTTTTATTAAATTATTTAAATTTTACTCTATTTTTGTAAGCTATATGTGAAAACCTAGTGATTGTTTTCAAGAGTATTAAAATTAAGAAAAAGTGCATTATATCGAGTCCAAATTACGTGATTAAAAGATTATACATAAAATAAGCCAATCCTCTAATTTACGTTAAAGTTAAACCATACGTTAAACTAACATAACTTTCACTATCATACTTTAACGTATGGTAGTGAAAGTTGGGTATGGCAGAAGAAGCACGAGAGTAGAATAAATGCAGTGGAAATGCGGTCGTTAAGGAGTATATTAGGGCTGAATCTGAGTGACAGGGTGAGAAATTGTGTAATAAGAGAAGAATGTGGTATGCAAGATGATGTTGTGACGAGGATTAAGAAAGGAATGCTTCGGTGGTTTGGTCATGTAGAAAGAATGAATGAGGAAAGAGTGACAAAGCAAATTTATGTTGCAGAAGTGAACGGAAGAGTCGGTAAGGGATGCCCTAGGCGAAAGTTTGCCGACCAAATTGGCGATCTATTGAAAAGAAGCCAAGTTAAGAATACCCTTAACCGACGAGCATGTATGCGTAGATATATGGATGTGGAAAAGGCGAGAGAGTTATGTCACGATCGTGCCAAATGGAAGTCTGTAGTCTCTGCCTACCCCTCTGGGTGACAGGCGTGAGTGCTTATGTATGTATCCTCTAATTTGCGGGCCCGGCACTGGAATTGAAAATTTCAACCCCAGTACCGGGCCCGCTTATTTGCGGGAATATTAATTTTGGTTTTTTTAATAGTAAAACATGATAATAATATTCAGACATTTATTGATATAGTCTTTAGGTACCCAACGCATATTATTAAAAAAAAGCATTGGATTTTCTTAAACTCATATACAAAACATTATCACATTTTTCTAATTCATTCGCAGTTTTTTTTTAGTTTTCTTAATTTACTTTAATATGATCATTTAATGTTACTTCATCTTGACTTCCAAACTTGACTGTTAAATTTATCAGCTTCTACATTTTTACTTGGACAATGATTGAACAACTTTTAATCAGAATCCGAATTATCACTACAATGTACTAGTGTTGCAATATCTTGCCTCCAGTTTCTGTTTATTTGAAGGATTAGTGACTTCATATCTTCCTTAAATTTAACAGATTCAGGCGTTTCTAATAATTTTGAACTTTCTGAAATAGCTATTCTGCAACAATATTTTAACAAGTTTGCAATATTCAAAACGTAAGAGAGTGCTTCAAATTGTGTTTCTTTCTTATTATATTGTATAACATTTTTTGACGCGTCTACTAAAGTTCTATAGTACTGCGGTTTTAATACTTCTTCCAGGCAACTTATTTTCGGTTTCAATTTGTTTACTTCCACCAGCAATTTCGCCAAGTCTCGCATTTTATGTGAAGTCATTACAGAATGTGTCTCACCATATTTTTTAAAATAGTGTACTCCAAACATACAAATTATTTTATCTTTCTGTGCTATCAACGATATCGTATCTGACTCCATGAGCGGAAACACTATATTCTTTAAATTGTTATCCACTTTAAAGTGACGTAAAAAGGATTTTTGTTTTTTAACTTGTGCATTAATTGTTGAAAGAGTATAATCACATTCTATTAAATGACTCGGCTGTTCTTTTATAGAATAGAAGCCTAAACATTTGTCCCTTTTTCGCAGGTTTCTTTTTCCGTTTATGTCCTTCGCTATCACTACTCCCTTTGGTGATTTGACTTTCCCTTCGGGTGTAATATTTGTGTCGTGAAAATCCTCTGATAAAGGTTGTTTCAATTTTTCAAGACTTAAGGCGATCTACAACAAAAATATTGTCAACTGCAGTATTGTCAGTATTACTATCATCGTCAACTGAGTTAAAAATATGAGTTAAAAATACGGCTCTGTAGGGACTGCTAAAGATATAGTCAAAAACCACGTGTACCTAGTTCATTAAACACCCTGGGCAAGCCACTGTTTTGCATTATTGTCTCTGTATATGTTAATACCTAAACCCTTTATTAATAAATCTGGGAATAAAGTAAATTATGATTAAATATGAACCTTATTTCTTGGTATCAAGAACATAGCTTCAGCGCTATCCTTATGGCTAAGTTATTATGGTTATATCCGTAAGAGGGTAAATGTTTTCTATCCTTAATGTACCTATTATCTATAGCCTTATATACGTAGTGCTATAATTTATTTAAAACAAGCTAATGGTTAAAACATTAATTAAAAACCCGACTGCGTAAAATAGTTTAACGAAAAGTTGATAATTATTTTAACGTTAATAAGACTTATTATTTTTATATAGGTTATATAAGAACTTTATCACAGCTTCATTATAAAGTGAGTATGATTGCTAAACAACTTTAAATCGTTATAGATCCTATATGGTCATTCAAAATGATGATTTGATGACTTGAATGATTACTTCGTAGAGAGAATTTTACCACAGTCGCCACGCTTGGCGGGCGCGTTGAAATTTTTATAATTTTGAGTGGTATTATCAGGAAGATGATGTTACCCATCTCCAGTTTTGGTTTCTCTCGTCGCCTTTTACGTAACCCTCAGGACGATACGGGGTAGTGAATAAGTAATGCAGTAGTTGAGTATTATAGCTACTATTACTATGTTTATAATACGTAGTGATTTCATACTAACATTGTTTGACCCATCCAAAATATCTCTTTCCTTTAACAGATTATCCACCTCATTTGACGAAGAGACGAACGGTGATATATCTTCGCCTTTATCAGATATACAGTCACTAGGCATTAGCGCGCCTTTAGGTATTACGAAAGATATAGAATCGTCAGTTTCTTTTAAAATATTAATAGGTATGTCACAGATTACATTAGCTGGTAACACAGGTTTCAATTTTTCCGAATCTAGTTCACAGCCATCCTTACTATTTGAACCATCTGCAAAATAAAACATCAAAATTATTTAGTATTTATGCCTACTACTACGTGATAAAGCCATGCTATAGCTACATAATGGTGGTAGCACGAGTGGTTCGACTCGACTGCGGAATTACCACGCTATAGCAAAATACCAGCGTAAAATAGTAGTGGCAGTGTTTCGTATGGTGGTGTAGAGAACCGGAGACCCTTTTCGCTGGAAACGAGACATTTCAACTTAGTGCTCGGGGGTGACAACGCAAGATAGATGTGCATGTCTATGGGCCAAAGCATCTACTTACCATCAGGTGGACTGTGAGTTAGTTCGTATACTTAAAAAAAACTATTGGTTATCGGAAGAAAAGGATATTTCACCCATTTTCAAAAAATATTTTAAATGAATCCTTGAGTGATAATGAACCACTATGATTTTTATATAAATTTTTTAAAACCGAATAGTGGCATTAAAATTACTTTTAATCTATCGTTTTAAATTTTCGCGTGAAAACGCTAGCCGGCATGCTGTTTAACTTGTGACGTCACTGTCCTAGAATATTGCCGATTTTGCAAAGGAATAAGATACTTTTTAATGTTAAATAACGAATTATCATCTACATCATCGTGTTGTGCCTGAATGCAAAAATACGAGCATAAGAAAGCCGGAAAAATTATGGGTTCAAGTGCCAACTGATTTAAATATTAGAAATACTTGGTTAAAACTGGCAAGAAGATACCTAGAATCTACATTGTCTACTAAAACTAGACTATTCTTCTGTGAAGATCATTTTAATGTAAGTATGACTTATATTTAACTATCGTTTATACAAAACATAACATCATGAGGTAAGGGTATCGCAAGTCAAATTTTGTAATAAATTACGTTAACCTAGATATTATAACTAATGATTGTAATTATAGATAAACTAAACTACGAAAGTATCAAAATACACTCTGACCTGGTATTGTGTTTTTGTATAAACAAAAGTTGGTAATAGGTACTTACATTGATGTTTTAACATTCTAACATCAATTCATTTATCCTTGGTAAATTAGTACTTTCTGCTTTTACGAATTCGTCTTCCCTGATGCCTTTTATATAAAATTCGGAATAAAATTCAATAATCGTAAAGATTCGAAATAACACAGCACATTAGCTAGTTCTCTTAAGGGGACTACAGGAGCTAAACGCAAGTTTTATAATGCGTCAAAGTATATGATACACTGCAGTAAACAAAACCAGAAAAATGTATGATATTTTTCTTGATATATGCTAGTTAACTGTTGTGTTAAAACATGATACTACTAATAATAATTATAAAAATATTAATACGATAGAAAAAAATCACAAAGATACATCTAAAAATTTCTTTTAACGAGTCAACACCATACTAATATACATGCGATCATTCTGATTTTTGTCAGATTATTATACATGCTACATATTAACTTATTGTTTTGATTTTTTAGTCCAGTTAATTGTTTTTATTTTAAATCGCATATTCTTATTTCTGAAATAATACTTACGGATGTGTGCGTAAACGCCTGTTTACAGACACTGCGGCCGAGGCCCTGATGGTATGTGGACGTGTCGCTCTTTTTGCTGCAGTATTTACGTAAAAATCGTTTAATGTATTTGTATAGTTTTATTTTTAAATTCACTATTTCATAAATAGTTTTCTTTTCATAAATATTCTTCTTTCGTATATATGTCGATTTAAAATATTGAAGTTAAAATAGCGTAGTATCGTAACTTGTTAATAATTATTATTTATAAATATGGGACAAAAGGTGAAACCCGTTACGAAGAGTAAAACACGTTTATATAAATTAAATGCCCAACATGAACGATATTAAAAGGTTTTACTTATTACTATAACATTTAATTATTACTAAATAATAAATATTTATTTTTACAACAATAAACCTATGAATTTTAGCAACGTAGTATATTATTACATTGTGTATTTGGTACTAACGGTATGGATTTGCGGTTTGCATTCAAAAGTACCCGGGTTCGATCCAGGAATATGAACTCAAATTTTTCTTTTTTGTCTTTTATATATTTAGTATTGTATATTTAGATACATTTATTACTTACTTATCTTCACACACAATCCCTAACGGGGTAGCCAGAGAGAACAGATCGCCAAGTGTCACGATCCTTACATACCTCTTTCGCTTCTTTCAGGTTCATTAACATCTTCATACAAGCACGTCTAGGTATCCGAGTACTCTTGACCTTCCCCTCTTCGAGCAATTTGCTCACATGGTCTTCGAAAGTTAGTCTCGGTCTACCTCGACACCTTTTAATATTTACTTTCGCTCTATATATTTTCTTCACCATTCGGTCTTCACTCATTCGCTCAACGTGCCCAAACTATTGGAGTACGCCCCTATCAATTTTTGTGATAAGGTCATCTTTCAATCCTGCCATATTGCGAATCTCTTCGTTTCGCTTTCGGTCGGCTATGGTAACGCCACACATTTTACGAAGAGATCGCATCTCCACTGCATTCAACTTGCTTTTATGCTTCTTCTGGCATACCCAGGTTTCGCTGCCATATGGGTGAATCAACTTTTAAGGCACTCCTTTTATGTCCCCATCATAAAAGTGGCAATATTTTTTTATTTATCTACAAATTTTTAGATTTTTGACTTTAGCACATAATCAGATTTTTCATCACCACGGCAATATAGTCCTTATTTTAATTTTAAGCAAGATTTATGAAATTTTTTGGGTAACTCAGTGGAACAAAATCAGTCTTCATACTAAAAATACTTGTCCCCGAACCTAGGTTACGTAACAATTTATGAATTTTCTCTAATAAGTTGTATGAATACATTAAATATTTACGAGGTGTTTCAATCCAGAATTAAATAAGCTTTACATTGAAGTACAAAATCGCAATTATTTTAATTAAATGGTATTTATTTGACGTCCCTAAACATGTGTCCTAATTATTGTTAAAAATATCTACTCTACTGCGTTACTGTAAAAAGTTGAAGGCAAATTCTAAGAGATGGCGTCTAATTATATGTTAGTGAAAGCGTCTTTTGTCTAATAATTCTTCGGAGTGGTTCAACAAGACAATTTTCCCGCCACGCGACCCTCAGACTGCTGTAAGCCCCCAAGTACTACGCGTGGGTTTATTGCCGTTCCACAGCGTTACTGCGTAAATAGCGGTGAGTTTTTAATATATTTTGCCATCAGTATGTTAGAATGTTACCCATGCTGTCTGGATTCAAGGTCATGATCAACTTTTTGGTTAGTTTAAATTGTGTCATTATTTATAGTATTTTTAAGCAAAATTTTCCCCTGCGTTATCGGTAACGCAAGATAATGTTCTCCTGAGTTACCGGTAACGCTAGAGAACTTTCTCTCACGTTACCGAAAACGCCAGAGAATGTCGGGCAGAATGACTTAGCTAAATAGAGATATTTTCAGTATTTTCTACTTTTCTGAGAGACTAAAAATAATTTACTTTGTCTCAGATCTGCAACGATTAAAATCCAACAAACACGGTTGTAGCCTACCTTTGACAGTGATTCTGCAAGAGGTTATAAAGTCAATTCGTTTTTCACCATTTCCGCATCAAGCTGCCGCAATTTGGGGTCACTTCAATCCAATATTATAATGGATATGATCTAATTATGAAACCGTCAGTATCGTGCATTTTTTTCGGACGGCCCGAGTACACAGTACAGAAAAAAAGCAAAATTTTACTTGATGTGTACGAAGTATTTTAATTAAGGGTTCTCTTGAAGCTGGCCATGGAAAAGGGCCGGCTGATGGTGTTGGAGATTATCTTAAAAGAACAGCAGACAAATTTTTTACCAATGGTGATGATATATCTGACGTTCTGCAATTTTATAACAATATCTTTTTTTATAGGATAGGGAGACAAACGAGCACACAGTCCATCTGATGGTAAGTGGTTGCTGCGGCCCATAGACATCTACATCTATCCTCGATTACGAATTAAAATGCAGATGCGTTGTCACCCGTGAGGATTTACATGCAATGCCTCGCTTCCAGTAAAAGAAGTCTCTGGTTCTCTACACTCACCACACGAAACACAGCAGCATTAAGCTACTATTTGACGCTGGTATTCTGTGAGAGCGTGGTCCTTCCCCGGTGGAGCCGACCCATTCGTGCTACAACTATACTACTAATATAACTGCTCTACCACGTAAAAAAGATGAATAACATCAGCAAAATAAGAATATTTAATTTATGAAAAAATATTGAGGGCCAACAGAAAGCCTTACCAGTCAATATCCCAAGACTTGTAGGAACTTTTCCGGTACTCCTACTCCCTAGGCGTAGTCCCAAAATCATGGAAGACGGCTTTCGTCCACCCGATCCCTAAAAAAGGCGACCGCTCGGACCCGTCCAACTACCGGCCTATCGCCATTACCTCCTTGTTCTCCAAAACAATGGAGTCCATTGTAAACTGCCAGCTCATGAGGTACCTTGAGGATCACCAGCTGATTAGTGACCGCCAATACGGTTTTCGCCGTGGTAGGTCAGCTGGTGATCTTCTGGTCTACCTAACTCACAGATGGGCGGAGGCAGTAGAGTCCAAGGGGGAGGCATTGGCCGTTAGTTTGGACATTGCGAAGGCCTTCGATCGGGTTTGGCACAAAGCGCTTCTTTCGAAGCTCCCTTCCTATGGGCTTCCCGAGAAATTGTGCGATTGGATCACCAGTTTTCTTGCAGATCGGAGCATCAAGGTCGTTGTAGACGGTGCAAGCTCCGATTGCAAGCTTATTAATGCTGGTGTTCCACAGGGCTGCGTGCTATCGCCAACGCTGTTTCTTCTGCATATCAATGATATGTTGCAAACCCGTAGCATTCATTGCTATGCGGATGACAGCACTGGTGATGCTCTTTACACCGGCCGAGCCAATATTTCTCGGGAAAACGTCTCTGAGTGCCGGGACAAACTTGTGTCTGAAGTCGAGTCTCTGCTGGACAGAGTCTCGGATTGGGGGCGACTAAATCTAGTCCAGTTTAACCCCCAGAAGACACAAGTTTGCGCGTTAACCGCTAAAAAGAACCCCTTTGTCGTATCCCCTCAGTTTCAAGGCACTCCCCTTGTTGCCTCAGCCAGTATCGGAATCCTCGGCGTCGACATATCGAGTGACGTGCAGTTTCGTGGTCACTTGGAAGGGAAGGCCAAATTGGCCTCTAAAAAGCTTGGCGTGCTCAGCAGAGCGGGACAGTATTTCATGCCGGCACACCGCTTGCAACTTTACAAGGCGCAGGTTCGGCCGCTCATGGAATACTGTTCCCATCTCTGGGCTGGGGCTCCCCAGTACCAGCTCCTTCCACTTGACCGCATCCAGCGCAGAGCGGCTCGAATCGTCGACGACCGAGTGCTTTCCGATCGGCTCGATTCACTGGCGCTGCGAAGAGATGTTGCATCTCTTTGCGTATTTTATCGCATCTATCACGGGGAGTGCTCTGAGGAATTGTTCGGATTAATCCCAGCCGCCAAATTTCGTGAACGCATTACACGGCAAACGTCCCGATACCATCCACACCATCTGGATGCTTGGCGGTCCACCACTGTACGTTTCAAAAGGAGTTTTCTTCCGCGTACAACCTCTCTGTGGAATAATTTACCACCGGTGATTTTTCCGGACCGATACGACCTGGGGACCTTCAAGAAAAGAGCTTACTCCTTTCTAAAGGGCCGGCAACGCACCTGCAATTCCCCTGGTGTTGCGGTTGAACATGGGCGGCGGTAGTCACTTAACATCAGGTGAGCCACATGCTCGTTTGCCCCCTCTTCTATAAAAAAAAAAAATAAAAAAAAAAAAAAGAACTCTTAAAGTTCATCAAGTATTTTCGAACTGGTATGGTAAATTAAACTAGGGATTTAAGCTGTTTCTGTGAGACGGTTAGTACGGAAGGAAGAGGATTCTGTACGTGTCTCAATCCAAAGGCATACGATATCCTAGAGTGTTCTATGATGCGGCCGAAATTGGACTGAGTGCTTCCATTCCTGGCCTGACGTACGAAGAGATTTTTAACAATTTAATAAGAAAGGAAATTGATGTCATGGCTACGAATCCTAATTTGGAGCACACAAATGCGACATCAAAAATACTGAACATGGAAACTACGCCATATGATGATGATGATGATGTACCCTTATATAACATAAAAATTACAAAACAATTACGGGATATGACGAACAGACACCGAAGGACATATGACGCAATATACGGTGATTCTTCATCAGAAGAAGATTTGCCATGTCGCAGTCATAAGCAAAGTACGAAGATGGGATGTGGAAACTTTTTATTAGTGAAGTTGTACGTAGACGCATCCAAAAACACATAATAGACCTATGCATCCATAACATTGACTGATGTTGAAGAAGACGGAGAAGTGAAATAATGTTTTTACGAGTAGTGGATGAAAACGGCAAACGTTTTCATTCGGATGAAACGGATATTTCTTACGTGGTATATGATTACATTATCCAGAAATTACTGGCACCAGACATTATAATTTCTCCCTTAAATGTATGTTGTTAGTGGATTTCGTTTAATTTCAAATTTTGTTTGCATTTAGTTGATATGTTTTAAATAGATTGTCCCATTTAAAATAACTGATTTGACTAGCCGATTTTAGTAGCTAACATTATGATACACATACACTATATTGTTGTTAGAGAATATGTTTCTCAGGTGTTACCATTTTTTCTCTGGCGTTACCACGGTGTCCCATAATTGGTGTAAGGGTTACTATTATTTTAAATTAAGATTGATTATTTAGAAGACTGCATTTGAGTTCAAATAAATATTTACCATATTGGATTTTGAATATTTATAGTTTTATTTCAAACTACGATACTTTCAAAAACGTAACTCAGGGGATAATTTTATGACATGGACAACAGATTTTGCAAAAAAATCATTAAGTTCTAACTTAGATGTTGTGGCCAACTACGGAATCTAAAAATAAGATAAATTTTATAACACATAACTCTGTACTTTTATAAGTTTTCGTTATTCTATTTTTTATATTGACTCTTGCAAAATATTGTCAAAAGAGTGTCTTAAAAGTTGATTCACCCATATAACAAAGTCGGTACCAACACTGCGTTATGTATTGCAAGGCGTGCACTCTTCACCACGCCTTGCCTTTTGACTAATGCATTCAGGGCACCATTGACTTTGTTTCCGGCAGCGACACGCCTATCCACATCTAAATCACATCTTCCATCCCGGCTGAAAGCACTCCCCAAGTATACAATTTCATTTGAAATTGAAAAATGAAATTGTATGAAATAGATACATTTATTAATTACTTTATAAGTAAAACAAATTAAATGTAATCTTTTTAAACCTATGAATTTTAAATACGTTGCTTACAGTAGTGACTGAGTATTCAAATAACGTGTAGATGGTTGAGGTTTGGATATGCAGTTTGCATTTGAGGGTGCCCGGATTCCAGGAATGTGAAGTCAAATTTTCTTTTTTCTTTATATATTTAAAATTAGTTAGTAGTTTAGAATATTTAGATAAATCAATTAAATACTTTTATAAATAAATAAGAAAAGTTTGAAATGTAATAATTTTGTCCGGAGAAAGAAAGTTGAAAATATCAACACGAAAGTTATTTCCAATTGGTAAGTACCTACAACTTTTTAAAGCTATACAATAAAAAACTAAAAATACCTAATGTTTTTGGTAAAAGACCGCGGCTTAAAGATGAACATGACGGAAATAACAGAATCATCTAAAAATTGCGATGTGACTTATCACATGGAAGAGTTTAGTTTTATTGATTTTGTTTATAACAAATAGTAATAATAATAATTAACTATGTATGAATGATTAAAACTACTTTTACGGATTTTATCCCGTTTAATTTCCTTCAAGAAGGAGGCTGGGTACTACCACCTGCTTGGGACCCTATAATCAATAAAATTAAAACTAAACCCAAGCATACCACTGCAAGACCTCAGGACATAATCAGTTCATTTTGCATAGATCAGATCATAAACAATAATTAAAAAAGGTGAAGGTTCTCCGGGTTTAACAATGACATCGGGACGTCAGTCACCTCAGTCCCCCGTGACCATGGGTGCTGGAAAGCACCCGAAACGTCGGGAATTAAAAATAAAAACTATTAAATTTAAAATTAAACGCGATAAAATCCATAAAATAGTTTTAATCAATGTGTAGTGTTCGCGTAAATATAAGAAATCATTATGTACTTATGGCTTAAAATATTTCAGTCAAATACAAAAAAATAAACGAAATGCAAAATTACCTAAGTATCTTGTGACCCATAGAACTAGAATATTAAGAATTGACATTTCTACGTAATTTAAAATCTTCAATATTTTTATAGATTGGAAACAGTGGAATCACAGGAAAATCATCATTGCGAAATTATTGATATATCTAAATATTATATATATAAATATATATTATATAAAAATATATATATAAAAAAACTCTTATGTGAAATGAAACTGGGCTTCGACATTTTTTAATAGGAATCTTAAATAAAAATGTGTTTTTTTTTTAAGTTTGCTTAATGCTTAAATTGCACATGCTTAAATTTTTAAGTAACACTAATAAAAAATAATTTCATAGTCCCATCTATTCGTTTATTAGATCTAAATCTTACTTGCGCTCTATCTATTTAAACACTCTGGCCTAACCTCGCTAATTCGGCAGTTTAACCTCACTGTCGTTAGATGGCGTTCACATTGATTGTGTAAATGTGTGCGTGCATCATTCGAGGCCATTTAGCTCTTGTAGTCCCCTTAACCAGTGACACAGAACACAAATACCCTTTCGAGGGATCAGTGACGTCACGACAGTGTCTAATATGGCGGACAGCGTTTTGTAGATTTTAAGCTAAGACGAAAAAAATATTCTTAAAATTGATATATAAAATTTATAATGCAATTTTATAAATAGAAATCAATATTTCTCGTTTACTTGTTATAAAATCTATCATAAATATACATCTTTTGATGTTTTTACATGGTGTAAAATACCCTATTATATCACAAAAGAATAATTAATACATTAAAGTTGCAAACACGCGTGATCAGTGTTATTGTTTTTTTTTAATTAAAAAGAATAAAGGTAACAAAGTATTTCCTCACTCTAATAAACTGATGGGACGGAAATCCAACACGACCGGCTAGAATTCAGTTGCGTGACCAACGGCTCCGCGCTGCTACTTACAATTTATTGACAGAAAAAGCATAAATTTGATAAAGGCCCGCTGTGGGATTCGAACTCAGGACCACATTATCATCAGTTACGCTTACAATCACAAAACCAACGAGGTGGTTTTAAATAGTATTTACATATTTTTAACATTTTTGAGACCTCATAAGTTATGTTTTTATGTGGTTCAATAGTAGAGCTTTACGATAAAATAAAAAAATTAGGTATTCATTGAAATAGTTTTTATTTTTCATACACATACATTAAATAATCAACTTTTTGGTATGATGTGCCACAAAAGTGTGTATATTTTAAAATATTTAGCGATAACCTAAACATTTTAATTTATTGGTCTAATGTTAATGATGTACCCTACCAAATAAAACAAACAGAGTTCAAAAATTACAATTACAGCTAAAGTTATAGACCATTGAAATTTTCAGCCGCGAAAATTTTTCAAAGGTGTCAAAAAGAATGGAATGTATACTTTTAGAGAGTAACACTATTTGCGGATGATACCACAGTGACAATACCATGTAAAAGTGTAGAGACCTATGAAAATGACATTAATAACTCCTTAAAATTAGTTGTAAACTGGTTGGACGAAAACAATTTAAAAATAAACTTAAATAAAACAAAAATTATCCATTTCAGTCAACGGATTCCTAGCATGAGCCTAAATGTACACTACAATAATGATGTTGTAAAAGAAGTTGAAACTGCAAAGTTCCTGGGTCTCGAAATAGATAAACATCTTAACTGGAAAGCACACATTAATACTTTATGTAAAAAAATTAGTAAAACCGCATATACTTTACATAATTTGTCTTCAATAGTATACACGGATGCACTCCTCACTGCTTACTACGGCTTAGCAGAATCCCACCTCCGATATGGAATAATATTTTGGGGTAACTCAACCGAAAAAGAATCAGCGTTTTAAGGCTCAAAAAAGATGCATAAGGGCGATGTTTAAGCTCAAAACTACCGACAGTTGCATGCCATATTTTAAACAGTATAAAATACTGACATTACCTTGCTTATACATACTAGAAGTAGCAGTGTTTGTTAAATTGCATCCGAAACGTTTTAAACGCCTTGACCAAGTAGTTCCACGTAATAGACGCGACAATACCCTTCTATGTCATCAATCCGCTAAGACAGCACTAATGCGCAAAAGTATATACTGCATGGCTCCAGTCATATATGATAAAATACCAAAAAGTTGGAAAGAATTGCCGCTATCGATATTTAAAAAAAGGCTTCGTAGCTTCTTGACAGTCAAAGCATACTATAGCGTAACAGAATATTTGACTGAAAAAAATTTTTCATTTTGAGATTAAGACTGTATGATGTTAAAAAATTTAAATTATGTTTGTTTTTGTGCTATTATTTTATTTTGTTATAGCTGTTTAGGTGATTAGTTTATATTTCTGTATATTTTGCATGCCTACTGGTAAAATATGGCTGAACTCACTACCTATATTTCTATGTACTGTACCCATATTTGCAAAATAAAATATCTTTATCTTTATCTTAGAAACCCTATTTATTCTACATTAACTAACATAAAACATATTGTTGCGTGAATAAGTCAACGTCATACACTAGCGTCATCTAGTGTCAGGAACGAGAGCGAGGGGAGCTTTGCAGAAAATGACATCACAAATCTTTCAACCGACAGCGCCATCCGAAGAACTAAGTTTCTAGAAAATCTACACTCGAACACTCGTCGCTTTGCGCGCATTTACTTGAATATTCCGGATGCTTCATTGCTAATTTGTATATATAGGCGCTGCAAGATGCGATCGGGGCAGTATTGGATTTGGCGAGACAAGCGAAGCTTCGGAGCGGAATAAAGTGAATTAGTGTGTTTAATTATTAGTATTTTAAGTTTTAATTTGTGTAAAGTAAATTAAAGTGTTAATTTAGGTAATTTTATCGGCAATTTTTATTGTCACGAACCTCAAGCTCGTAACAATATTGTTAAGTAAACACAATTTCAAGAACATATCTACATAAACACCGAAATGCAGCACCGCACGCAAAAAAGTATGTTCATGTTACCTCTTTTTGGTAAACAAAGTAATGACCGTTAATTCGGTTGCATTTCTTGTTGTCAAATTTTTCTCCCTTTTAAACGAGGTATAACACAAGTATCTACAACGTGAACAAGAAATCTATGAACAAAAAGTCGATTGGCACCAATAACCATTCCATCAAGAGTAGCAAAAACTGGGCCGGCGCGGCTGTGGTGCACACGGGGGTATTTCGTGACCGAACGATCGATCGATTCGAACCGATCTAGTACATTTAAGGTATGATATAGTTAAAGTTACATTTTATAAACATTTTGTTCGTGAAATAACTAACGCAGCTACATATGTGAAATGGTAAAAAAACAACTTGAAAAAAAGAGGTAGATAATTTTAAACGAAATTTCCTGTCTATTTCTTTGGCATGCTCTGTAGCATCCTTTAGAAGGTAAAGGCAGTATATATGCCACCAACTAAATTATTATTTTTTCCTGTTTGTGTTGTTGACGGTCCTTTTATTTTTCGAGTATGGTAACATTGATCATTTTTACTTCATAAATGAGTGTCCCATTGACAGATACTTCAAAGCTGTCAAATCAAAGCCAGCCATAATTGCGTGAAAGTGGTGTTTATCTGACGGAAAATTTCATCTAGTTAGATCTTCTTAGATTTTGGCTAGAATGGTAAGATAACTTATATTATTATTTTGTATATATTGTGCTAATGTTTTGCGTGCGATTTTGGCTCTGAACGTTTTGTAACTTGTTTTATTTCAATTTTTATTGGTGGCAGTATCTATTCCACTACCCGTTCACTATTGTTTTGGTGGCAATATAAATGACATTGCCTGTTTGTATTTCAGGCATACCTAAATGATGACGATATTGAAAATGAGCTGGAGCAAATGTTTAGGCTTCCTGATAATCCAGACGAATCGGAAGATGAGTACGAGGGCGAGGATGGTCTAGAAATCGGTTTAGGTCTACGTGCGATGTTGGAGGATCCCAATATTATTCAAAACCGAGGAAGTCCAACGCCTGGACCATCAAGACGCAGTCCTATGAGTTTCCTTTCTTCTAATGATGGTGAAATGAGAGAAAATATTGATCCTAATATAGGAGTACCTAATATTGAATATAGCGATAGCGAAGACGAAGAAATCTTGCGACCAGTCTGACCAACACAAGTATCTCGTACTATTACGGAGTCTTCCACTGACTCTTCCTCCCATGATGAAAATTGGAAAAAAGGTAGTATGTGGCCGGGCAGGCCAAATGCAGATAAATATGATGAAGTTACCTTGAAACCTAAAGTTTTCTTTCCAAGCAGGACTTCTCCAATGGCTTATTTTTCGAGGTATTTTTCTAGAGAAGTAACTGATCTCATAATTGAGCAAACTAATTTGTATGCCTCTCAGAAAGCGACTTTACATTGGGAACCGGTTAGAAAGCCTGATATTGATGCTTTTTTAGGAATTATTATTTTGATGGGTATTCATGTTTTACCATCTATAGATCTATACTGGTCTAGTGACGAGAAGCAAACGTGCAAAGGGTTCAAAAAAAAAAAAAACCCCAAACAAAACAAAAAAATACGATTCAAGGGTATATCATCTTTGAAACAATACATGCCTGCTAAACCAATCAAAAGGGGATTCAAGGTTTGGGTTCGTGCGGATAGTTTCTACTGGTTACGTATATGAATTCCAGATTTTCACCGGTAAAAATAAAAACAATACACCGGAGTTAGGGTCTGGGTGCTAATGTTGTCAAATCCTTGACGAGAACTCTTATTGACGAGAAAGTTCAAGCGCACGTAGCTTTCGATAATTTTTTGCCTCATATCCTTTGACGCAATACCTTTAAGACAATGGGATTTATTCTACTGCCACTGTCAATATAAATAGAACTGATTAACCGACATTCGTAAAGGCTAAAAAAAAGAATACAGTAAAGCTTGAAAGAGGAAATTACAAATGGAGAGTGAATAAAGATGCTGGGTACATGATTTAGAAAGATACAAAAATTGTTACATACAGCTTTCCATCCCAAAGAAAAGACCGTCAAACGGTCACCGTTTGTCAGAGAACAATGAAGGATAGCACAAAGAAGAATTTCCAATGCCCTTTGGCGATTACTGAGTATACAAAAAGAATGGGAGGTGTTGATCGATTCGATCAAAAAGGTTGGTGGTGCAGGATTTTTTATTTCCTGATCGACTTGGCTATTACAGATGCTTTCATATTGCACTCTGTTTCACCGAGAAATCATGGAGGCATGTCGAATCTACAATTTCGCATCGCAAATGCTAGATCGCTCGTAGAAACTACTCGTATCGAACCTAATATTGCAAAAAAAGAAAATATACGTATGTTGGAAACACTGATATAATTGACAGCGAACAAAAAAAAAAAAAAAAACGACATATAAAGTATTATTGTGTGCTTACACTTGCTTTACTCAATTTCACACAAGAACTGCAGAGTACATTAGATAAGTATAACTTATGATATACTATACAAAGATAACTACCAAATTATGTCAAAAGCCAAAAATTTTATTGACCTCAAATAGTCTCTAGTTGATTCATGTTGCTATACCATAATAGCTATAAGTATATTTTTCAAAAATAAATATTTTTGTATTGTCAATTACTTACTCTTTTATTTATAATTAAAAATGAATATAAAAGATATAGAACACATGTAATTTACTTAAATTTACGGAAATATTACCCTTCTATTATGGACAGAGACATGTATACTGCCACCAAATTTTTCACATATTTGCCAACATATTTCCGAGTTAAAAAAAAACATAAAAAAATGTTCCCATCAACATACTAAAATTTCGTTTTCGTACCACTTCTACTTTTCTCGGCCTTATAAAGAGTTAAACAGTTTGATGGATTTTAACACAGAAGGTATCATTAGATCCGATTTAATTTTGGGAGTGACATAGAAAAAAAAAAAAAAAAACAACCCCAGAGGGGAAATGTCATTGTGCGCAATGATACTGTTTAAAACAATATTCTATGCAGAGCGGTGTTTTGCACGTATCGCACCGCCAAGTTGTCCTAGATAAAACACCTCTCTTCGAGCACATTCTGCATCTGGCCTGTCTAGATTGACCCCTTTCAATAAAATGATGCACGCTGAGCTGAAGTCGAGCTGAAAACGTTTGATATATGTAGTCCACTAACGCAAGCCTAAATTCACGCGCCGTCTATCTTCGTCGATGTCTTTTTGAAGTCATGGTGGTTGTATGTGAGAGTTGAGAATAGTGATATTCAGAAGTCGGTAAAAGAGTTACGTACTCTTTCAATGAGAATGGCTGATAAAAGTTGATCTTTTTGTCAACCCCTCCCACCCGGTATTTATACTGGCCATACTTCTCTCTTCCACCGACTTCACATTTGTGGTGGAAATTAGGGAGACCAAATTTTAGTCTTTCCACACTACCGCAGCCAAGTTTTCACCTCTTTAACATATTAAAACCATTTCAAACCAATAGTCAAGCAGTGACCAACGCCGCCGGTCAAGTTCTTAGCAAAACTTCTCAATGGTGTTGGGAGTACTCGTGTTGGGTGCAGTGATTTGGGGTGTAGCGGTGTTGGGTGTAGCGGTGTTGGATGCAGTGGTGTTGGGTGTAGTGGTGTTGGGTGTAGTGATTGTGGGTGTAGTGGTGTTGGGTGTAGTGGTGCAGGGTGCAGTGGTGTTGGGTGTAGTGGTGTTGGGTGTTAGTGGTGTTGGGTGTGTAGTGGTGTTGGGTGTAGTGGTGTTGGGTGTAGTGGTGTTGGGTGTAGTGGTGTTGGGTGTAGTGGTGTTGGGTGTAGTGGTGTTGGGTGTAGTGGTGTTGGGTGTAGTGATGTTTTGTGTGGCGGTGTTGGGTGTAACGGAGTCGAATTTAGTGGCTGCGAGTGTAGTGATGTTGGGTGTGGCGGTGTGGGGTGTAGTGAAGTTGGATTTAGTGACTGCGGGTGTAGTAATTTAATGTTGCGTGTGGTTTGGATTCAGTGACGACGGTGACAGTGTACGCGATTGTGGAAGTAAAATTCTCTTCAAACTAAGTAATACGCTATTTTACTATACAAAATTAGTAGCTATTAAATTTTACAATTTTAATCCCGGGTCGGGATGTCTATGACCCTCAAAAATTGATGGTAACTATTGACTACAGATATGTAGCTACTAATTTGGATTAGCGTTTGTTTTGACGTTTCTGCCCACACACGTGACGCGGCAAGAACCGATGCCATCATGCGACGCCATAAATGTGAATGTATGTGTTTGTAATAAACGGATGAATGAATATATCGCTTGAAGTGACGTGCATGCAAAGTCTTCTGCATTGGCTGAAGGCCTCAATGATTGGCCTTGTCTTATCGTTACCGTTACAGAAGAGTCCACTGCTGAGTATATTCCTCCCCCATAGACTGCCTCATAGGGGCATATTTGTCATTGATACCACGCTCAGCAAGCGGGTTGGCAAACGCATTTTTAAAGTTTTAGCCGTTATTCGAAAGTAGCTGACGCTTATGTCCTGATTTTTTACGTGGTAGAGCCATGCTGCAGCTACAGTATGCATGTTCCAAAATATTCATTCATTTACATTATGCATGTAGCACGAATGGGTCGGCCCGACCGGGGAAGGACCACGTACTCACAGAATACCAGCGTAAAACAGCAGTTCAATGCTGTGAGCTTCGTATGGTGAGTATAGAGAACCGGAGACCCTTTTTACTGCAATTGAGGCATTCCATCTTCGTCCTCAGGGGTGCCCACGCATCTGCATTTTGATTCTTAATCGGGGTCGATTTAGATGTCTATGGGCCACAGCATCCACTTACTATCAGATGGACTGTGTGCTCGTTTGTCACCCTTATTCTATTTTTTTTAAACTGTCGTCTCTTACGTCACCCACGGGATGATATGGGGTACGAATATTCTTACACCGCCACTACACGGCACACCACACGGCTTTGCTTTACATGCAAGTAAAAATAGTAACCTAGTTGTTATTTGTCTTTTCTATTGTGTAATGAAAGATGTTTGCTTACGTTTCGTATACGAATTGTCGCCTTTTTTACGACCTAAAACAAAGAAAATACGCTAAATTTAAATGTAGTTAAGGAAACCTCATAATTATAATAAGCACTATAATGATTAATGATCACCTGTTTCTATTTCCCTCTGTCGCCTCTTACGGATACCCACGGGACGATATGGGGTAGTGGATATTCTACACCAGGGATGGCGAACCAATGGCACGCGTGCCATTGCTGGCACGCGACGAAATAATTTCGGCACGTCACTGATTACGAGTTTAAAGAAAAAAGTATAAATTATGATTATGATGTAGCATAATACCTATGAATCTTTGAAAAGCAAACGCGCGCGAGCGTTCGGGTCCGGTGCGCGGGGTGGAGGCGGGGCGTAGTTGCTATGCTAGCGTGGGGAATGCGGCGGTGGCGCGGGGCGCGGGAACGCAGCGCGGGGGCTTGACTTGAGTAAATAATAACAAACGAGGCGCAGTGCCCGCGCAAATTGTTTGTTTACGCAAAAAATAGTTAAATTTCATTGTGAAAGTGAACTTTAAAGTTTATTTAAGTTATTATTTGCTGTAATTTAATATGGCAAGTTCAGCAAAGAAACTAAAAGTGCAAAATAGCAAGGATACTAGAGAATTTCAGACTTGGTGGACTGATAAATTCGGCGTGATTAATAAAGGTGACAAAGCAGTGTGTGTTTTATGTTCTGGCACCATGGTATGTAGAACATCTTCCGTTAAACGGCATTTTGAAACAAATCACAAATCAATTTGTCAAAAAAGCGAAGCAGAGCAAAAGGAATTAATTGCGAGTGCTTTGAAAGACAGAAACAAACAGTCAACATCAATAAATAAATTTGTTGGCAAAAACTGTCATACAAGTGCGGCAAGTTACACGGCTGCAAATGTCATTGCCCGGCATAGTAAACCCTTTCAAGAAGGCGAGTTTTTAAAGGAAGCCTGGTTAGCATGCGCGCCTTCTCTTTTTGCTGATTTCGAGAATAAAAATAAGATAATTCTGCGCATCAAAGATACTCCTTTGTCCAGAAACACAATAAAGGAAAGAATCTTAAAATTGGCTGAAAATGTTACAGAGCAACAAAAGCTTGACATTCACTCTGCTTCATTTATATCGCTATGCCTCGACGAAAGCACTGACGTCACAAAATCTGCACGTTTAGCTGTTTTTGCTCGATACTGCGTAGGAAACGTCATTAAGGAGGAATTAATTGCGATAAAATCGTTACCAACAACTACAAAGGGCGCAGATATTTGTACGGCAGTTAAAAATTCGATAGTTGAAAAAGAAATTGATATAAAAAAAGTTGTTTCTGTAACAACTGATGGTGCTCCGAGTATGGTGGGTAAAAAAATTGGTTTCATAAGTTTATTTCAAACTGAAGTAGGACATTCGATTCTTGAATTCCACTGCATCATTCACCAACAAGCCTTATGCGCTAAGTGCGGTTTAACATCTCTTGATAATGTTATGGCAGTAGTTACGAAAATAGTCAACCTCATCTCTGCTCAGGCTTTAAACAAGCGAAAGTTCGACGCTTTGTTGGATGAAGTCAACTCCGTGTATAATGGCTTACTCATGTATAATAATGTTCGGTGGCTGAGTCGTGGGTCTGTACTTGAAAGATTTCAACAAATGCAAATGCTTGGAAGAAATCAGACTGTTTCTGCAAAATGAGGGAAAAATTGAACAATACCCACAGCTTTTGGACGTCATGTGGCTTTCAAAATTGATGTTTTTTACAGACATATGCCAACACTTAAATACGTTAAATGTGAAGCTTCAAGGCACAAACAAAACAATAATCGTCATGATCGATCTCATTCGCGCCTTTGAGGCTAAACTGCAAGTTTTCAGAAACGATATTATCGCAAAAAACTACAAGTATTTTCCATACTTGAAAAAATATATCAATGAATCTGATATACATGAGACAACAAATGCAGAAAATATTACTGAGGAATTTATCTCTGTGATTGATTCTTCAATTAAGGAATTTTCAACAAGATTTTCTCAGTTCAAAGAATTATCAGAAACGGTCAAGTTTATTATGTACCCAGATGTAACGACCTTTCATACACTGAACTTCTCCCAGTTCGATTGGTTGGAAATTGAAGATTTTGAAATGCAGCTGATTGATTTCCAATCTAGTTCAATTTGGATACAAAAATTCATATACATGAGAAAAGAATTAGAGTTAATTGAAACAGAAAGATTGACCAGTAATATAAGTAAAGATGCCAATAATAAAATTTTAGAAACCTGGAATGCGTTGCCAGAAACATTTAATTGTTTAAAGAAGCTGGCTCACGCTATTCTAACTGTATTTTCATCAACATATGCCTGCGAGTCATTGTTTTCAGAGATGAATAACATCAAAGACTCTGTTAGAAATAGACTGACTGATGAATCAAGTTCAGCATGCATTCTGCTAAAAGTAACATCGTACAACCCCAATATAAGTCAATTATCGTCCAATCTGCAACAACAGAAGTCGCACTAATTTTTAATTGCTCTTGTAATTGTATTTTTGGTAAATATAGAGCTTTGAGTTGATATTGTTTTTTTACATTATTTTTCCACTGATCACAAAGTCAAGAATATTTGATGGCACGGCTGCGACGTCATTAAATATTATTCCAGAAAAATTGGCACGTATACGCATAAAGGTTCGCCATCCCTGTTCTACACCGTTACTACAAGACACGGAAGAACAGCATCAGCACAACAATCTGCCTAATAATAACTTAAAATGACAAAAAACTGCGTTTGCCAACCCGCCTGCCAAGCGTGGCAACTATGGCAAAATCCCCCTTATGTGGCAGTGGACCTTATGTAGGCTGAATTGAATGGATAGATGGACTATAATGATATCCTAGAAGAAAATTGTGATATCCGGCATTTAAAGATCGCTAGTATCGATAAAAATAAATCTTGCTACGAACCTCCACATATTTTCTACTTCTAAACAACCTTCATTCATTTATTTATTTATTCATTATAGCCCGTCAAAGATATAAACTGGACTTGCTTAGATAAACTCAAAACTGAAAATTGAATTTTTACAGACACAAAGTAAATAATATGCAAATGCCTTAACGCCTACTTCTCGACCATAGGATTTACACTACTTTGATAATTGAAAAATAAATTGAAAATGAAATGAGAAATAAGAGCAATGAGATTGATAACTTGGACACAACGGCTTACTTAACAATTAAAAAAATTATCGCTAATAAGCGAAAACGCTACGATATTATAATGGTGATGATTTTTTTACCGTCTGAAAAAAATAGGGTGTAACAGGTGAACCGAATAGAATTTTACAATATTTTTTTACATTAACATATTATGAAATTGATTTATCAATAAATACCACTAATTTGAAATAAGCTTTCGGTACAAAAAAAATTAAAAACATAAATTTTTGATAAAATCGAACTTCAAATCATACGCACCCCACTTTACGAGCCACAATAAAACAACGAATTTGTAACGCACTCGCCGCACCAAACAAAGGAAACGGACAAAGGCCCTTGTCCTTTCGCAGGATCGCAGACGCCTGGCCGCCCCCACCCGCGCTCTCATTTCATTTCAGTCACTTGTGATTAGGTACGGTATTGTTACGTTTCCGCATGTGTATCGGCCGCCCGGTGATAGTTATCGTAAACATGTACTCTAATATCGAGTACCTAGCAATGGTGAGATTTTATGTCTTGTCTGGTGAAAACTTGACAGTGCGACGAGTCGATATTTACCCGCGTTGGAATTTACAACGTGCACAATGAGCACTGGTGGAGTTTCCAAGACCCACACAAAATCGAAATACATGCTCATCAAGTTCCTGTGTTAACGTTTGGGCGACAATCATTGACGAATACATCACTGGTCCAATATGGGTTCAAGGTCAATTGACGGGAATAAGTTATCTGCAAATGATACGTTCCGTTATTTTCAAAATGTTGGAAAACGTTCCTCTGAGCCATCTGCAAGTAATGTACTTCCACCACGACAGATATCCAACTCATTACGAACGATCTGTGCGCGCATATCTGGACAGCAAATTCAATGATAGGCGGATAAGTCGCGGTGGACCTGAGAACTGGCCGGCCAGATTACCAGACTTAACACTTTTGACTTGAGACTTTTATTTATGGACCGAATTAAAACGATTAGTGTACACAGAAGCACAAAGTATTAGTGATTTAAAGCAGCGTATAATAGAAAAAAGGGATAGACATGCTTCGAAGTCTAACAAACAATTTACAGAGTCGTGCTATAACGATAAACATTTTGAAAAATTACTGCGATATTGCCAAAAAAGTAAATTTTGAAGTAAAATTTCTATACGCACGCTTGACTTGGGGGGTAAACTGCGTGACGCAAGCGTTACGAAGTGCGATCGGGCGAGGTGAACGGGAGTTGAGTGGGGGATATAAGCAAGAGAGAGCAGTGCGCGCACACATTTTATTTCTCTCATTCTCTCATATCCAGTAAGTGAAATATGTATATATCTCAGTGAGTAGTTCATTTGCGAATTACATATGCCTACCGAGACCTTGCAAGCAAGCAGGAAGTCACCTACAATATAGCATCATCAAATCAAAAGCGTTAAATTTCTGTACGTAGTACTATTATTTATTCCGTGATAATAGTACTACGTACAGAAATTTCACTCTTTTGATGTTGACTCTTTGTCGACGTTTAATAGCCTACATAATTATTATTAATAAGATAATTTGCGCACGCAAGCTAAATAAACCGTTATCGCTGCGCGCGAGTGTCCGTATTACTTTGCATCTCTTCCTCTTTCTACATCACGGCTCTTTTTCCGTGGTTACTTATGGCTGTCAAGAAGGAGTAAAAAATACTGTATGTATAACATTACTAATTTATTTAATTTACAATTGTTTTACTTAAAATATGTTTTTTTGCAGTCTCTAAAATACCGGTTAACGTTCCCTTTCTTTTAAATTCTGTCGTCAAATTGAAAAGGATTTCCTCATTAAGCATCCATCCACGCAACAATTATAGTAGGTTCGAAGTTTTGCCATTATAAATTAAAAATCAAGTAGATTATATATTATTTTTAAACCAAATTAAAATTTTAGAAATATTTTATATTACAATTAAATACACTAAACAAAAATTACAACAAATGTTTACAAAAACTATTCACGTAAACAGCGTTAAAATTCATCAATCGCCTACAACGCGCTAGCCCCGCTTGCGTATTACACCCTGGGTGAATCGCGATTTTGAGGCCTTTTGAGGCCTGCCGGTAGGTGAAGTGTTTAATAATAAGCATTGAAGACAGTGAACTAAAGTAGTTCACAGAAAAATAAATCGATTTACTTACCGTATTGATAGAGTCAACCATTACACACACTGTTTTCCTTATTTCTGTGTGTCAATTTTGACAACATACTCAAACAGTTTTTTCGTTCCAAAATTAAATAGAACAACCCTGTCTATAAATAATTCAAAAAGTTATCCACGATTTTTAACTAGGGCCGATGCATATGCAAAGGTAAAAACCTTTTGCTAGCATCATAAACGGAGCGGAGTAAAAGTCTAAAGTCATAACTATCTTTATTTCAACAAAAGAATCATTCAAATGATGACATTGCGCAGATATAAATTAACGAATTGATTAGATGGTAAAAGAAAAAAAATTATTGTTTACAAACCTTATCTGCGTTGAGCTACAAATATTGCTTAAAAATTATGTAAATTGGCCTACGGGTTATGGAGATATTTCAAAGAATCGTTTTCTTGCGCCATGGGAGCTCCACTCGCTCATCAAAGTCCACTACTGAATAATATTTTACATAGTCACGTCACCATACTGGGCAGGCGGGTCGGCAATTACAGTTTTTTTTTATTATTTAGAGTTGTTATGAGGAAGAAATTTTTCTTATCTTCTTCAAAATTTCTTTAAAATTGAAATTTAAAATTTTTATTGCAACAAAAACGAATTTATACATATCAATGTGACAAAAGCTAGTTCCTCCCTAAACTTAACAAGCTTTTGTTTATTAAAAACACAATATATACAACACGTAACATAATTAACGCACTTTGAGAAAGTACCTAGTTTGTTCATAATCGTTTACTGAATCGATTCCTATCATTTTTAATATAGGTAATTTTTTATCCCAAAAATAATTAAAACTACGTAAATTACAGTCACACTAAATCTGTACAGTCAAAACAAACTGAAATGGACCGTAACTTAAGGCAATAAGACTTTTAACTCGTGGGGGGTCAAACAAAAGATTTTACAATAGATCAAAGTGGCTATTTGTCGAAATTACGTAAAACAATTACGCGCAGCAAAGCAAAAATGACTTAAAATTTATGAAAAATTACAGACATAACAGATTCTAATTAAAAGGAGCGTGCGTGTAATTTTGTGTGTGTGTGTGTGTGTGTGTGTGTGTGTGTGTGTGTGTGTGCGTGTGTGTGTGTGTGTGTGTGTGCGTGTGTGCGTGCGTGCGTGCGTGCGTGCGTGCGTGCGTGCGTGAGTGCGTGCGTGCGTGCAAGCGAGCGAGCGTGCGTGCGTGCGTGCGTGCGTGCGTGCACACGACTGAAGTAAAACTTCTTTAGCTCCATCTGTATTTATATATGTTTATATATGCAAACATGTATAATATATACATGTATATACATATACTAATTTTCTACAAATATTTAAATTTATTATCGGTTTTCATTGATAAACTAATATTTTTGAATAGATATCTTTTATTTTGAATCATCATTTCCATTATTGGATACATAAGTAATTATTGTGGTTGATTGTAAAACCGAGACAATCGGTTTATCGTATGAGAATTAAAATTAGACAGATATCTAGAAAAACCTGAATCGGTTGTTGTTCCATATCTCGTGGTAGGCTCATTTCGCTTATTATTCATTTGTAGTTCTAATTTATCTCGTAGAAAGTTTACCTAGAGCTGTCCATCTTCGGATGCGAAATTATCATTGAAATCTCCTGCTAAAATTAGTGGCAACGTATGATCGTTTTCTCCTAATTCTTCAGAGCCTACTCAACCGTAAATCATAAATATATATAGTACCCGGATGACCGAGCTTTGCTCGGTTTTTTTACGTTACGTTAAGTTACATTTATATACAAATTACATGAATAATAGTTTTTGATCTTATTGACATAATAGAAAACACTGAACTGGTTATTTGAATAAAAAATCATGAGTGCAATTAGATTAATTAAAATCTTCGTATTTTTAAAAAATACTTAAAAAAGGGCTCGAAATAATAGATTATCTCACAAAAGAAGTGAACTTGAAAAAAAAAGGAAAAAAAGTCGGACTCAAGAGGGGACGCGAACCACGGAACCCGATATCACGCCCGAACAACATCCCATTTGAGCTATTACGATCGTTAGTAACCTGTCAAAATTTACCTTTATATTGTAGATATATATATATATATATATATATATATATATATATATATATATATATATAAACTTTATAACATTATTAACTGTGTTATTGGGCGAAATGTAAAAAACTACCATTATCCATCGTCCAAAACACAGTGAGCAGCACATATATCACCAATTGATGATTAAACAATGTTAATTTCACGATTATATCGTAATAAAATGTCCATGTTTGAAGTTACTATATTCGAAGTATCATTTAATCTCTGATAAATTGCCACTCCTTCCAAACATTTTTCGCTTAAAATTCGCAATACAATTAAAATTCGGGATGTCAACACTTTCATCGTCATTTCACCAGGTTTCTGATAAAAACAAAAGATTGCTTGAATCAATTACGGGATCGTTCAAGTCCGACACGTGTTTTCTGAAACTTTGACAATTGAAAGTAGTAACCATGGACAACTTTTTTCATTCATGAAATCAAGAATCGTTCTTCCTAATGTTTACATCGTGTATAATAATATAATCGGCGAAATTCATCTTGTAAAGATATGATCGATGTATCATTTTTTCGTCGCATTATCTTTTGGCACTATGTAGAGTCCTTCAATACTGGCATTCATAAACGACTTCATTGAATGTTCCACCTTGATATTTATGAATTGTCATGGCACATCCTGATACTAAAGGAAAATTATTTAGTTTTGCGTTTATTGTTTTGTTATTATTCATGGCAATGGTAGATATTCTGCGTTCTATTATGACGGCATGTTTATCAATGTTATGTGTCGCAACTAACGTTGTTCAAAACGACTATAAATCAATAGCACGCTACAGACTATAAACTATAAATTTCTAGCGCGCTATTAAATACGTTAACGAAAGTACGTTACATTATATGTCGTTCGTTGGATAGACTGCTATATAAAACATTATTTTTTAATAAGTCACATTTTAGACTAAAATAAAATAAAGTAGTACAGAAAAACCAATGAACATACATTCTTACTTTTCAGTCTTACGACTACCTATAATCGATGTTAACGTTATTTTAACCTTAATAAATTATAAATCAATAAAAGCGTATTTATTAATTGTATATACAAATATCAACTATTTATAATATACACTATTATATACACTCTTGTATCTATATTACATATAAAAATATTAGTTAGCCTGTTTTTGTAGCAGAGAACCACGTCCTTTGTTCACTTATAAATATACTGTATACAGTAACTAAATAACATCGTTAGGTCGCGCGCGATGAATAGCGTGCTGCTAAAGCAAATTTGCGTCGCACGTTCACTCCCAAGAGCGCTGCTGCTAGAACTAATTGCCGCTAGATATAATTATTAATAGCGCCCAAGCGCCATAGCGCCATGGCGACTACTTGCATAGCACGCGCTATGCGCTATGGAAAGATAGCGCGCTATAATATGGTGCTATGCGTTATATAAACCACCATTAGTCGCAACGTAACCGGAAGCTTTAAGTCGAAATTTTTTCACCAACTTTTCGTTAATTCTAACTTTTGAGAACCTTACTCGTTTAACTTCATTTTGTTCGTTTTGTTCAATATGTACTAATTTACGAACTGCACCATTTGCCAGTCCATCTGATACATCAATGTTTGTGGTGATAATGTACGATTTGTACATTTCGAAAGCAATTTCCTACGGTAAACCATCAGTATCGATAACCGACATTTTGTGTAATTCCTGTTTGAGAAAAGCTTCCTGTTCAGTACTTTGACATCCACAAAATAAATCTGTTGCTATTGATGCTATTTTATTATCTGCACGTTGCTTTATCGTATTATTGTATTCATTAACGGAATTATTAGTAAGAAAGAGACGAATTCCACGCAGGCATAATTGATCAACCTGCTCCTTTGTCTCACGATAGAAATCACGATTCAATAATTGCTAATTCGTCATCTGTTAATATCATGTCATTACCGATTTTCGTGAATAATGATGAAAATATTGCATTACTTTGTCGCATGACTTCCGTCAATCGGTAAAATTTTAATCCTCGCCATAGTACTGGTCCTGCCATATTGGCTGTTTTTACAGGCGGCAGTTGCCGTAAATCACCAATGAAAATCATGTCTAATCCACCAAAATTCGTTTCAAAATTCCCTGTTATTTGTTTTAGTCTAGCATCAATTTGAGTTAATAGTTCTGCACCAATCATGCTCACTTCATCTATTATCAAGACTTTTAGGTATCTGAACAGTGTACGATATTGATTTTCCGTCTCAGTTGATAATGGAAGAAGTTTTGATAGCGATATTTTCAACGCAGTGTGTACGGTCGAACCGTCTATAGCAACTGCAGCCTCGCCTTGGCGCTTCAAATCTGTTTTTTTTTTGTGCTTTATTAGCAACAATCTTCTTATAGCATGTAAATGTGTGTTTATGAGCTTGTAATTTGATATTTCCTGATGCTTGAGATGTTGAAACTGATAGTAAACTGTCCATTAATTGTATTACTTCACTGTTATTTTCATCAATCATATTATTTAAAGCATTTTCAAGCCACAGTAAAATATGTGTATGTGGACTTCCGCGATGCTGGAATTCAATACGTTTAAAGTATTTAGCAACTCTGTAGCGACCGAAAGGACTAAATTATTTGGATTGTAATATTGTTAGCAATACATTAACCAATTTATTGAAGTAGATGGCGCAAGTCAGAGCATCTTCGTTGACAAGTGTGCTTTTTTCAATGTAATTTAGTTCCGACGCAACAAGCTCTGAAATGTCCGTTCCATTGTTCGCCAATTTATACAACAGCTGTATCAGATCCGTCCATCCTATTTCATTGACGCTAAGTGTAATGAAAGCTGTTGGTCTGCCTTTCTGTCGAATCATCGCGAAAAGATCTTTTTTTCTTTGTGCCCAATACTAACTTGAATTTGGTATTGAACATAGGAAAACAAGATTCGATTCAATACAATTGCTGATGTACTCGTCTGATTGGATTTGATCTCTTGTTATGTTGGTATTAAGAGCAATATGCTTAAATGCCACAGTCAAAGAGTCTCGAATCCGCAGTCTCATAATCTTCACAGCAGTATACACCAAATGGTACGGAGTAATTGCTCGACGGTCAATACGACGCAATTCACTGGAAGCCATCATGAATGATGTAGCTCTAATGTCTTCTTTAAATGTTCTAAATTGTCCCAAATAAATAGTTGAAAATGACTTCCGCGTGTTCATCAAATAATAAACTACGAGGAATATTGTTTTCCCCAGGTGCGATTCTTAAATATTTTTCGTCATTCCACAGAAGAATATGTTGCTGAGCTGTAATACTCTCCTCGATGGGAATATCTTCAGCGACTTCATCTATGTTACCTGTTTGTTGAGTTTCTTCATCATCATCACTGAGGAATCCGTGATTAATTGTGATATTGTAGTAATCATAAAGGGGCGTGTTTACCAAATACTGTAACCATATCTTAATACTTTTCTTATTAATCCTTGTAAATAGCTCGACTTGCGCATTCGTTTCTTTTGATATTAATGTAGATGCAATGATCATCGTTTATATCTCTTGGAAGTTGATTCACCATTGTATCCATGGATACTGGCACATTGATAATCTGACCATATATACCATATTGCCCATGCACATGCCATAGTCTTCGTATCTGCATAAATGGGAGACGAGGGGAAACTAATCTTTCCGAAACTAAGTCAAGTTTCGTTAAATGTGCAAGAATTTCTGGATATTTAAACCAAGACAATATTGGAATATTTTGTTTGTCAAGAGCAACTTTACAAGTTGAACAAATCATTGCATCGCTAATGTTGTTGATATTCTGGAAAGTACAAAATTTATATTTGGTAATTTCTTCAAACATAAAGTACGTGCATACTTCGATATTACTTCAAAATAATATTATTTCTTACCGTTATTTTCTTCAATAGATCTTCATGATTGTCAGATGCTTTTTTTAAGTCATTTTTAAACCATAATCTATCGCAGACTGTACATGAATAACCAAATGGATTTTTCCGGAATTTTCATAAGCCTTTTTATGTTTTTTAATGTCGTCATACTTCAAAATCAAAGTGAGGTCTGATTGTTGTTCATTATTTCCCGATGGATTATTACTATGAACAGAGAAAGATATGCATTGAAATTGAAATAATACTAGTTTTTACGGAATTTATCGCGTATATTTAACTTTTTAATACTCGACGTTTCGAGAGCTTTACAGCACCCATGGTCACGGCAAGGACTGAGATGTTCAACGTCCAGATGTCATACTTAACCGCGATTACCATAGATTAAAATTTAACTTTTGTTCCGATCTATACAGTATGAACTTATGGTATCATGAAGTCTTGCAGTTGTATGCTTGGGTTGGGATTTAATTTTATTTATTATAGGATCCCAAGCAGATGGTAAAAAAGACCCATACAGATAGATATTTAAACGGTGATTCTCACCACCATCCCTCACAGTTAGCTACCGTGGGTAAATCTTTGTTTTAGAGAGCACGAGGGATCTGTGACAGTAAACACCTGGCTGCCGAGCTCCAACACGTCAAGCAAGTTTTGCATGACAACAAGCTTCGGGTCCCGCGCCTACGTCACAGAGAACGAGTGAAGCCGGCCACAGTCGAACGTGTACCTGCTGTACTGCCATATGTTAGAGGAGTCACTGACAAGATTGGCTACATCTTGAAGCGCGCTTCCATCAAAACATACTTCAAGTCGCCGAAGAAGATTGGTCAGTTTTTACCATCAGTCAAGTGTAATGTCCCTCTGCAAGATGCAGGAGTGTACAAGCTTGATTGTGAATGTGGTCTCTCCTACATAGTACAAACTAAAAGATCAATTAAAACCCGCGTTAAAGAACATATAGCTGATGTGAAGAATCGACGCTCCGGGAAGTCTGCAGTCTGTGAACACGTACAGGATCGCCCCCGTCACTACATCAGATTAGATAGACCACAAATCCTCGCTAAAAAACACCGATTCCTTCCAAGGATGATTCGCAAGGCTATTGAAATCAAAAAACATTCTAATTTCAATAGAGAAGATGTCTGGGTGCTACCATCTGCTTGGGATCCTATAATAAATAAAAGCAAGACTTCAAGATACCATAAGTTCATACTGTATAGATCGGAACAAAAGTTAAATTTTAATCTATGGTAACCGCGGTTAACTATGACATCTGGACGTTGAACATCTCAGTCCCCCGTGACCATGGGTGCTGTAAAGCTCTCGAAACGTCGGATATTAAAAAGTTAAATATACGCGATAAATTCCGTAAAAACTAGTATTATTTCAATGTGTAGTGTTCGCGTAAATATAAGAAATCATTATATGTATTGAAACATAATGTATGAGCCTAATTTTTTTTTAGCAACAACACAACGTATATAATTTCAATAATAATTACGTTTCGATGTTGATATTATCATTTCTTCTATCACAATATTCTCGCGCACGTTCTGATTTTTTAATTTGTTGCTATGATTGTGAAATCCCTCTTCTAGTTAGCTCTGCGTATATGCTGTTTATTGTTGATGGACCAGCCCTTTGATTTACTTGCGACGATGATGTGCTGACTATAGCATCTAAATCTTGATCACTTTGCGGCTCCAACGGTATTTTCTTTGCTCTAAGTAAAAAAAAAATCCAAATAAGAGTTTCACGAGATTTCAAAGGCATAAGTTTTATAAATAAATTAATATTTACAATTTTTGTCTCTGTCGGTATTCTCGCATGCGTTGAGCTGCAGTTTTCGCCTGTTTTTTTGATGTTTCACTAACGCCTTTTTTATTCGTCGTGATTTCAGAGGGTCCAGGGTCTTGATTGTCTTCTGATGGACCAGCACTTCGAATATCTTCTGCAGCAATTTCAACTGTTGCATCTGGTTCATGTTGTTGCTTACTTTGTTGCTTAAGCAGTGCCTTTCGTGCTCTGAATTCTCGAACACGTTCCGCAGAAGTTTTTGGCCTTTTATTAAACCTATAATTTCATAATTCTAGTTTGGTAAAATTAAGTAAATTATTATTATCAGTTATGAATGATTATAAAAATAAAATAAAAAATTATTTACCTATAACTAATCATTTGTCTCGGTTTTTGTACATGATCTATAGTGGGATTTCCATTATCAACTTCCATTTGATAATTGTAATGTTCAATCGCGATATCAGTTTTCGCTTGTTTTTTTAATCGCCGTGTTTCCTCTGCAGACTTTGCTCTTTCTTCTATTGTCGTGATTTCAGAGGGTCCAGGGTCTTGTTTGTCTTCTGATGGACCAGCACTTCGAATATCTTCTGCAGCAATTTCAACTATTGCAACTGGTTCCTGTCGTTGCTTACTTTGTTGCTTAAGCATTGCTTTTCGTGCTCTGAATTCACGAACACGTTCCGCAGAAGTTTTTGGCCTTTTATTAAACCTATAATTTCATAATTTTAGTTTGGTAAATTTAGTAAATTATTATCAGAGTCATGAACGATTATAAAAATAAAATAAAAATTAATTTACCTATCTCCAATAATTTGTCTCGGTTTATGTACATGATATATTGTGGGATTTACATCATCAACTTCCATTTGATTATTGTCATGTTCAATCACGAGTTCACCAATTATTTGTAATGGTAAACCTCTACAATTAATAAGTATTTCATTATTTACGTATTAGTTAAATTATGTTATTCTATTTTTCAAATTTGCTGAGGTAAATTGTAGAAACGCGATGCCAAAATACGGAAGAGTAACTAGGAAAAAGAGAGAGAGAGAGAAAGAGAGAGAGAGAGAGAGAGAAGAAAAGGAGAGAGAGCGCGAGAAAGAGAAGAAAAGGATAGAGAATCAAACGCGCCCCAATGTCGAGAGTAGAATGCCGCGTATTAGTAGAGGGAGAAAATAAACAAGGATAAAGGAAGGCTACATATGACGCTACGACGCTAGCAACTAGTACGAGATACGCACTCACCTTCGTAATTCATTATCAGTTGATTGGGTCTCAGTAGGTTTAAAATCTTGCCCTAAATATGTTGTCACACACTTTTTATGCACAATTTCCGTACGTAATTTCTTCTTAAATGGTAGTCCTGGAGCACCGCTTTCATAATCTGAGTCTGTGTCAATTCCTTTCATAATTTATTATTCACCCGAAAATTCACAAAACATGAACTTTAAAATGAATTTACAATTTTATTCACTTTAAACGTAGAATATTTAATGTATTGAACAAAATATTAATTCATAAAATTGTTCAAAACAAAATAAAATTACGAAAAATAACTAAAGTATCACCGTTCGCGTAACGCTAGTAAAGTCGCAAACGAACTACTACTGAGATATATACATATTCCATTTACTGGCTATGAGAGGAAGAGAGGAAGAAAATGTGTGCGCGCACTGCTCTCTTGCTCCTACACTGTGATACAGACAATAGGCCTGCACTGTGCTTAGATATACGGAACGTACCTGACTTTGAGAGGAGAGAAAGAAAATGTGCGCGCACACTGCTTTCTCTTGCTTATATCAGCCACTCAACTCCCGTTCACCTCGCCCGATCACACTTTTCGTAACGCTTTCGTCACGCATTCGCCAGCTTACTCCCCAAGTCAAGCGTGCGTAAAGGAGTTTTAATACAAACTTAGAGGAAAACGTTTTTTAACGCGGAGGAAGCAGTGGCTGCGTTTCATAATGCCATCGAAGAGAACCCTAAGGACGAGTGGGCAAAGTGCTTTTCTCAGTGGTTCCATCGGATGCAGCGATGTATTGATGTGAATGGACCCTATTTTGAAACGATATAGTAAAACTAATAACTTGCTAGTTTGTTCAGTTTTTGATTTTCTAAGAACTTTGTGTTAGTTTCTAAGAATTATCTGACATTTTTCTTCCATTACGCCATTAGCTATGGATAAAAAAAATTGAAGCCGGAACATAATATATTTCTTAATAAGTAAATTGCAATTTATGTAAATTTTGGTAATAGTTTGATACAATTTATGACAGTATAATAACGTGTTGTACTATGTATTCATCCGAAAATAAAAATCATCTCCTATTTTAATAATGATGAAACATGAAAAAAAAACTGATCTTTTTGACAGAATTTTTGACATAAACATTTATTAATTTTTTTAATCAATTTTTTGACTTTTTAGATATTTGACATTTATATATAAACATTTACCTACATTTTAGTAAAAAAATTGACATGAAATAATCTAATCTAATAAATTATAATCTAACAATAAAAAACATATTTTTGAATAGGTACATAATTCATTTTCTTCAATAAGTTACTTCACTAAATTGTATTAATAATTTTTTTGTTTACTGTAAAATATTGCACGCCATTATCATGGTAGAATATAAGGTCTCGTTAATAACTTATAACATCATATTATTATGTACTACATTCTAGCAATAAATAAATTTGAATTAAATTTGAGTGTCACCCTCGTAGCAGTGCCCGCCACTGCAGTGTCGGGACACACTGTGGGGCATTCCATCTTAGTCCTCTGAGCCTAAAACGCACCTGCAGCTTTGTTTGAAACCGGTTGCTGGTGTCGGTGACTTGCAGACATTTTAGTTGACTTTTTTGTTCACTGTGACATTTTAGTTACACAAAAAAAATGTATGAAAGAATATAGAAAGTATAACTTACTTGTGCCCTCGTCAGCTAGTTTTGTCCTCTTCTTTTTTGTATTTACTTCTGTAGTTAATTTTCGTTTGTCACATACATTTGCTCCTCCATTCAGTTTGTTATTTAAGTTTTTGTTCACATACAATTTTATATTCTCAAGGTTTACTGAAAATAAAAAAGAAACAGATTAGTTCACATGTTGATTCGAAGACTTGATTTGGCATTACCACTCACTTATTTATCTTCTTATAAAGTTTAGTTACAAACTATATAAGATAAATAAGTATGAAAATTAGCTTTTGATTAATGTATTATTATTGTGTTTTAAGAGTAAGGGTGATAAAGAGCACACAGTTCACCTGATAGCAAGTGGAAGCCAAGGCCCATAAACATCTACATCTACCCTCAATTAAGAATCAAAATGCAGATACGTTGTCACCCCTGAGGACTAAAATTTAATGCCTCATTTCCAGTAAAATTAGTGTGCGGTTCTCCACACTCACCATACGATACACAGCAGCATTAAGATACTATTTTATGCTGGTATTCTGTGAGAGCGTGATCATTGCTCAGTCGAGCTGACCCATTCGTGCCACAACTATACTACTAATATAACTGCAGCATGGCTCTACCACGTGACAAAATGTTATTATGCTGTATATTGCTTTAAAAAACATTCCCTCTGGGTTTTGTACCGAATCAGTGGTTAAAGCTTAAATGATTTTCAATAAATGTTCTTGTAATCTTTTTCTATAAATAAAAATCGATTGTTGTCTCTTGGTCTCATTAAAACTCAAAAACGGCTCGAACGATTTTGATGAATTTCTGTTTGTATGTGTTTGAATGGGTCCTTAGAATAGTGGAGATTCACATTTGGACCCGCGGTAGGTGGCCCTGTTGACGGGATCCAAAAATCATTCGTGCGAAGCCGGAACAGATCACTGGTATTGAATAAAATTATTCTTTTCTATCATATATAGACATATTATAGACGGCTCCGTGGTGCAGTGGCTTACAAATGAGTGGCTGCGCTGGGGGCCGCGGGTTCGAATCCCGCACGGAACAAGTATTTGTATTACATACAGATAGATTTTTCGGGGTCTGGATGTTTGTACTTGTGCAATTTGTGTTAATAAACTGCCTTCACGATACAGGAGAAAATCCTAGTGTGGGTATTTATTTATTTATTTATTTAAACTTTATTTGCACACATAAAAGAAATGTACAAAACGGCGGACTTAATGCCTAAAGGCATTCTCTACCAGTCTACCTTTGGTTTGTGCAGAGAATCTAGTGATGGGTGCAAAACTCATAATAAAAAAAAATTAAAGGTTTAAGGAAAAAATACAAAATTATAACATAATGATAATAAATACAATACACATACATATACATTTACATTACTACTTACATGCATACAATAGTATTTTATACATATACACAAATACCCACAATAAATAAATATGATATTTTTATATTATACATACTTGAGAATATAACAGTTTCCGAAGTTTTTTTAAATTTTTTATTATTATCCGAAACTACTACTGCTTCGTTAAGTAATATTCCCAGAGTAAACGTTTAAAGATAAGTTTAGTTTTTGCTTCTTTTATATTTCTGGGTAACATGTTCCAGAGACTTACTGCATTTGAAGTGAAAGAATTGTAAGAGAAGCTCGTGCGACAGAGAGGAACATGAAGAGTTAGATTTTCCGCGGAACGGAGACATCGGTTGTGAGAATCGCCCTGATACTGAAATTTGCATTTCAGATATGCAGGGACAAACGGATCGTGTAAAATAGAGAATAGCATAGAAAGGATTCTAAAAGATTTACGAAGTGGAAGAGGCAGCCATTTGAGCTGAGAACGGAATGAAGAAACGTGATCGAATTTACGTAAGCCAAAGATAAAGCGAATACAATTATTGAGAAGACGATCCAGTTTGTTAAGAAGTTCTTGAGAGGCATCAGCATAGCATACATCTGCATAATCTAGTATTGGTAATACGAGCGTTTGAACCAACATTACCTTTGTTCTCACTGGAAGAAAATTCTTGAGTCTATACAGACAACGCAAGGTATTGATAACTTTTTTGCTTACTTCCGTGACTTGCGGCCGCCAACTTAGACTGCTGTCAATGATAAGTCCTAGATTTTTTACAGTAGCTGAATAAGGTATGACAGCATTATTAAAATTTACAGGTGGCAGTGAATTAAAATCCAATGTAGATAAGCGACGGCTACTTCCGACTATAATTGCCTGGCGCTTGGTAGGGTTAACAGTAATACCGAATTTACTAGACCAATCAGATATACGAGTGGGGTCAGAGTTTAGCTCAGTGATCGCATCTTCGATATCGTTAACATCAGACTGAGCATATATTTGTAAGTCATCGGCATAGAGATGGTACGCGCAGCGAATGTGAGATGTAATGAGATTTATAAAAATTGAAAACAAAAGAGGTGAGAGAATTCCGCCTTGTGGAACGCCAGCAACCAGCGTGCACCAGTCAGAAATAACTGGACCCACGCGAACAGCCTGCTGACGTCCCTGAATTCCACTTTATTATTTAAAAAAAATTCTATTAGAACACAACAGAGCATGCACTGTTTCTTACCCATACGGACTCGTAGGCAGAAAAAGGCTGGGCAAAGGCCCTTTCATTGCCGAGAGGGTTAGATTTAAAAAAAAAACTAAGTCAATTCATTTCCTTACCAATGTGGTTCTTCTTGGTGTAGTCCTCCAACGTTTCATTACTTTCGATCTCATTGTCTGTATTTGATTCCGATTCTAATTTAACACTCATCACATCTGAAATTAAATCAGCTTTGTACATTTTTGTAACCACAAGGAAAAGTAAAAAAAAACGTCGAGTGCAATTTTTTTTGCAATATTATTAGTTCCTATATTAACAAGTTATTATTAGCTTCACATAATATATCTAAACTATGTAACAGTAATTTTAATTTAATTTTCACGTGTATGTGATGGTCACAATTGACAATCACATCAACTCCGGGTTACCCAATGAACCTGGTGCCTCATCTTCCCGTGGCCACAAGCATATTTGCATACTTTGTGGAAGTTTTCTGAGGAATCGTAAACGTGACCTTATTGTGAGAGAGAATCCATCTCAGTTGCAACAAGCAATACATGTAGAGCTTGAAAATAGAATTGCCCCACGGCAGGTAATAATTACCTTTTTATTTTGTATTTCTTTTTTCGTTTTGTCTGGGTATCAATGTTATAGTGAATTTATCTTTGCAATTTTATATTGTTTTGTAAAAATGTTTCTATTTCAATTATATTAAGTTAATAATTATATCAAAACAATTATATTAAGACAAGGCTGTATGGTTGTTTCAGGCAATTTCAACAGACCACCAAAAAAACATAGAGTTCAATTTTTTTTTTGCATTATTATTAGTTCCTATATTAACAAGCTATTATTAGCGTCACATATATCTAAACTATGTAACAGAATTTTAATGTAATTTTCACAACTTGTCGAGGGCCGATTGATTTGAATATTTGCAACCGTATTAAGGACTGACAGTGCAATAATTTATTAACTTTATCCTGGAAGTGGTATTAAGGCAATTTATTTCTTTTTTTTAATAGGTTAAGGATGACAAACGAGCACACAGTCCACCTGATAGTAAGTGGTTGCTGTGGCCCATAGACATCTACATCTATCCTCGATTACGAATCAAAATGCAGGTGCGTTGTCACCCGTGAGGACTAAGAATGCTTCGTTTCCAGTAAAAAGAGTCTCCGGTTCTCCATACTCACCATACGAAACACAGCAGCGTTAAGCTACTATTTTACGCTGGTATTCTGTGAGAGCGTGGTGCTTCCCCGGTCGAGCCGACCCATTCGTTCTACAACTATACTACTAATATAATTGCAGCATGGCTCTACCACGTATATAATTAAGGACCAATGACACTACAATAATTAAATAACTTTATCCTAGAAGTGGTAGTAAGGCAATTTATTTCCTTACCAGTGTGATTCTCCTCGGTTTGGTCCTTCACAATTCCATGACTTTCGATCTCGTTGTCGATATTTGATTCTGATTCTATTTTAATCCCCAGCAAATCTGAAAATAAATCAGATTTGTACATTTTCGTAACCACAAGGAACAGTATTTTCAATATTACTAGTTCCTATATTAACACGTCTATATTATGGATGCCACACGCGGTTACAATGATCAGTTGAACTGACGTACATCCTAAAACTGACCGTGTGTGTGGAATCTTAAGTTGAAATTTTCAACTGACGACAACCCACGGATTTTTTCGGTCGCACTGTCAGTTGAAACTGCTCAGTCGAACTGACGTAAATCCCAAAAATCATGAGTGCAAAATCTTAAGTTGAAATTTTTAACTGTTGGCACTCCACGGAGGTTTCCGGACGCGCCGTAATCCGCTGGCTTCAGTTCGTTTTAATTACTGGTAATTACCTACTTTCTTCTCAAGAGCCGTGGTAGCTCAGATGGTTAACGCGCGCTGTAAATATAACAGAACGCGAGTAACCCGGGTTCGATCCCCGCCGACACCAATGAAATTGTTAATTACAATTTTAAGTGCCTATTTACCACGTGCTCGGCGGTGAAGGAAAACATCGTGAGGAAACCTGCATGTCTGAGGAATAAGAAAAAAATATATATTTCGAAGACATGTGAAGTTCGCCAACACGAAAATCGCTCTCAGAAATGAGTGGAGGCCTGTGCCCAGCAGTGGGATGTATATTGGCTGTAACTTTACTTTTTACTTTTACCTACTTTCTTAGTAGCTACTTACGTTATTTCTATGCTATTTAGATTTTTTTATTATTTTATATGTTTAGAGAATTTCGTTTGACGGACGATGAAGACTAAGGTGACTGTGATGATATCACCTTTCTTATGATTGACTCAGAAGATGGGTAAAGGATCTTAGTGATGCTACGTAGAACCATCGTGTTTTTGTCAACTCATTTTCAAAAAGGTTCATGAAGACCTAGATGACTATGATGATATCACCTAACTGATGGTGGACTCTGAAGGTGGGTATAGGATCTCAGTGACGCCACTAGATAGGACGATCGTGTTTGAACTCATTTGAAAGGGCACATAAAGACCTAGGTGACTATTACGATCTCACCTTTCTGATGGTGCAATTTAAATGCGTGTATTGGATTTCAGTGACGGCACTATTTTCATAGTTTTATTATTATTAATTTATAAGAGTCACACAAGTTTATCTGTGACAATTCTAAAAAATTTATGCCCCCAAACGGGGAGAAAACATAAGAAAAATGAAGAAAACTAAACTAAATATAGTGTACCTATATGTGTTATGTAACTTAATACAATACGAAAAATTAATTATTTTATAAAACTCAACATATTTGATTATCAAACAAATCAAATAATTATTTTATTAATTCTAAACTTTTGTTCTTTTAAAAAAAAAACGAAGAAAGACGATAGTACTAACGATATACAGCAATAAGACAAAAATAAAATCGATCCCGATGAAAAAAAAACTTTTCACGTTTTATTAGCTTTATGCATGCACTATCATGTTAGTACAGCTAAATGAAACGATAATTTCATAAAAAATAATCATGAAAATACTTAAACATAAAACCAGCAGTGAAACTTAAAATACCTAAAATCAGCTGACAAGGGTCAATATTCCCGCGCGACGCGGAATTCGCTCGGCGTGAAGCCCGCGATTGTACCTACTACCTAATAATTTACAACACTTGCCTTAATATCTAACTTATCTACTTAACCTACTATTTTGACACTGTACTAGTCTCCACCTAGACACTTTAATTCAAATGCACAGGTCAAATAAACCAAATACCTGGTTCGATTCCCCGCTAATAAAAAATTTACTTAAATGAAATTTCAACAAGGATATAGTCACGCTTTTTTATCCATCGTGTAAGTATATTTATTATTCTCATGTATTCAGTTATATACCTATTCAGATCAGTTCAGTACTAAGTCATATAAAAAATTGGGTATGAAACAGCTTACTGATCTAGATCCTCCGTGGCCTTATGAGATGCGGCTCAAATTGTGTTGGTCTAATAACCAACGGCAAAAAACTCGCTCGCTCGTTGTATTGGCGCATTCGGTTACGCTTTAATACCTTGTGAACTGTCCAGTATGACACACTCGTTCCATCCCGACGCCTTAACAATTTAGCGATACTTCGTGTACCTAGGTTCGGATTCCCGCGAACGACATCTAAAATGCGCTCCTCGAGGTGAACGGCCACTTGACTTCCACCTCCCGCCGCTACCGGAGTAATGCGCCGATTTTCCAACACTCTTTACGTTTAAGTAATAAGACTCAATGAGCATTTCTCAAAATTTTTGACCATAGTCATAACGTCAATGTCCCACGTTTTTTTCCTTGATTATTTTATTACTATGGTGTTATAAGTGATATACATAATACTGTAACCGTTTTGATATTAATAATCAGATAGAATTTCAAAAGAGTGTAAAAATTAAAAAGTTACTTTTAAAATTAATATTCTGATAAATACCGAAATTTTCGTAGTATTAGATATAGTTTGTCTCATTGTGACCGCAGTGACTTCGAACTCATTTATTTTCATTACATTCTAAGAAGTTCTACATATGTTATAGCCTCAAAATATTGCTTATTGGCTAAACAATTATTTATAACGAGTTAATAGTAAAACTCGTCATAAGTTTAATCATTTCAGAAAAATAATTTAGTCCTATAAAAAGTATAATCGGAAAGTAGAGGTAAAAAAAAGGATTTTAAAGCCATGTGTACATACACCTCTCAAAAATGGCATAAGATATATTCGTGAATCCCATATAATATAATGTTGCTTTCATACCTTACTACAGTGTAGGTATTAAAGCAATATTAAATACCTACATAATATTTTCTTAAATTACGTTTAACTATATTATTAAACGATGAATCTTGAACAGATGACACTGTTACTAGAAAATAATTTCTTTTGGTGTAGAGTATGCAAAAATTTCAGTGTTTATGACCACTACCAAAAATTTTTACTGATTGTTATTAATTAATAAGTTTTTATATGCTTAAAGCAATTTAAATGATGTTTTGTTTTTATTATTTTGGATGTATATTTAATAAATCTTTTATTTTGTGTTGATATTTAATACTTACTTTTGTTTCTTTATGATAGTGAGTCAAGTGTGTCTGCTAGGCCTTATATTTCCGATTATGTTACCAACACTTCTTTTTTTGTTACTGTCCCAAAATAGCGCTGATAATTATACTCTATAACTTCTTTTTTTCTTCAAATTTAAACACAAAAATCACTTGATTAAAAGATTAATGAAAGATTTTTTTTTCAATAAATATAAATAATTGTATCCTTCTTTTTTATTCAAGAAAATGAAACTTTATTACTAGAAAGTGTTCGAATAGTAACAAAAATTAGTAGGATTGCTAAAAAATCAATTTACTTTGTTTTCGCAGTTTTTCTTTTGTCAAGATTTTGTTTGATTTATGATCTATAAAGTAAAATATAAATTCATAAAAAAATTGTGTTTTATTTTAAGATATTCACACAATTCCAAGTATCAAAATAAGAAGTTTTGTTATGCCCCTAGCTAACATTTTACGGGTTTTTTTTGTATAAAAAACCTAATTAAAACAAAAAACAAACAGAAGTTTAGAATCTGAATAAGTTTAGCTAATTATATTTAGAATCATATATCCTTAATATACAGATTTTAATTTGAGACGAATTTTAAGACTCTGGTCAAAAAATTTGAGAAATGATCCAATATCCTCTGTCAAGTTAATAAATTTGCAGGCGTAAGAATAGAAAACGCTCAAACTAACTAATTTAAGCAAGACGCAACCTTATTTCTACGTAGGAGTCTTACTTCTTCAGACATATTGTTAATCGCGAGTGCAAGCAAGACACAACTATGTTTACGTTAGTAAAACATTTACAATGCGATTCAAATAAGAGTTAGGAACGTCAATGATCTCTGATGAATGCTTGGCTTGCAAAGAAAATTAATATGCACATCAACACTGAGCTATTATGTACTACGAACTAGAGGCGACACTGCATTCAGCTACTATGTTCCATTCAACTGCGGTGCATACACCGCACTTTAATCAGTCACTCGCTAGGCGCTTGTAGAGTTGACGCGTGTTGTGTTGATTTAAAAAAATCTCGTGATAAAAATATGCCGTCGTGCGTACTTAGATATTGCACAAATAATTCAAGAAATGTCAGTAAGAACCAAGGAATTACTTTTCATTGGTTAATAAGATACTTAATCAATAAAAAAAAAAGTAGTAATAAAACAAATTGTTCCTAAGACGCCATCTCGTGTCACGTAATATAGATTGTGAAATTAATTTGTTCAGATGGACATAAGAATGTATTATTATGCACATTTTTTTGTAGAAACATATATGAGTTATCATAATTAGGCCAAATTTTTCATATTTTAATCTGCTAATTATTCTTATATTTTATTTTTAGGTTTCCACATCAAAGTCAAAGTGGAATAAATTTGTCAATTTTTAACTCTCGCGTGCCCAGTATTTATGAACGACTCTTATTCTAATTTAAATAAATATATTTGTAATTTAAATGTTATATTAACAAGTTTTGTTAAACACACATTTAGTATGTTTTTTTTTTATATTTGAGATAAATACCTTTTAAAATATTGAGATAAAAATATCACTAAAATGTAATTGTGATATAATATAATTTAATATTATATTAAATAAGCAAATATACAAAATAAATGACAAAATTTAAAAAATTGTTCTCGATATAATTTTTTACCTATTTAACAGTACAATCTATTATTACCTACTGATCATTCTACCTATGTTTATTCTATGATAAAAAAACCAACCACGTGAACACAGAGTAGTTTTTGTTTGAAATAGCTGTTCTAGCACGTAAGTACATATTACTTCAATGGCGCATCAATAACTTTTTTTTTTTTGCATTATTTAAATGAGTCGTAGTATCACCACATGAGTAGATATTTGATATTCATATCAATATTATAATTGTTACACATTACTTCTTTTACATTTTTTTTCTATACAGAATTTTTATTTCATCTTCAAATTTCTTGAATCTAATTAAAAAATCTAATTTTCATTTTTGGAATTTGATTAAGCCAATATATACATCCCCCAAGAGCTCTCGCCGCATCCAGGATCAGAATCTTGCGCAAACAGCCTTCCTATTATAAATTAAGGAGCATTGCCTCACTGGATGTGTTAATATAATAATGTTTACACCAGCTCATCTTGGCAACCAATGGCATCATCATCATCATCATCATCATGGCATAGACAACTTAAATTCTAAAACACTGCCCAACATTGACTTACCATAGTAATTTACAACCTGACTGTTCCCAAATATATCATTTTCACAACTTTCAACATCATTATCGGTACTCAATTCTGGTTCCTCTTTGATTGCACACTGCCCTGAAATTATATCGGCTTGATGATTATTTTCTGTAACAATAACAATTATAATTAATTTTATTTCACACAGACAAACATCCATTTATAATGTGGGTGTCTTTAAGGAAAAAGTAAATACACTTTTTAACCGACTTCAAAAAAAGGAGGAGGTACTAATTTCTTATTTTTTATGTAACCTCAGAACTTTTTTCTAGGTGAACTGATTTTGAACATTCTTTCTTAATTTGAAAGCTGGTGCTTCTTATGTGGTCCCATATAAATTTGACCAAAATCTAACCAGAAGTTTATGAGTTATCCTTAATAATTCATATTCAATTGATTTCAACTACATTGATGATGTTCTCATTTTATTTATGTCATTTTTTTTTGAAGCCTTTTGTACAATTTTTACCACATATCTTAAGCTAAATGACCACATACTATTACTTACAAAGGATAAAAAAATACAGAAATATAAATTAAAGAGTAAAATCAGTTTGCTTTTGCAATCATCGAATGCAAAGCGGAGATGTAGTGCTCTATTGTCACCAAATCAAAAAATCACCATCTACTCAAATCACTTCCACCAGCTTTATATTGCACTTATGTAATAAAAAAGTAAACCAATAGCAAACAGAGATTTCAATTAATATTTCTGATAAAGTTATAAGATTATTTATTATGATTATTATTTAAAAAAAATATTAATTTCTTTATTAATGAGATTAATCACAATGTGAATAGGTCGCTCCGTTAATTCATCGCCAAAAACAAAAAGGTTAATTGAAAATAATTTCACTAGGATGTCAGTAAGCCGGTATAGATGTGGTTATACCGCATGATGTAGTATAGAAGGATTAACAAGATATCTTTCGAAAACCTGAATTTATCACTTTGTTCTATTTATTGGCTTATTTTTTAATCCTTAGGAAGCCTTTTGAATTTCACTATTAAATTTTCTTATTTCAATAATTATTTGACAATTTTTTTTGGTAACATTATAAGAATCACTGGTATCAACCTTATAATATAACTTAACTTAAAATATAACTTTATTCAAAAGATTAAAAGCCTTTAAGGTGTACACTTTTGGATTTGTAATTTTTTTAACTTATTGTGGTATATATTTAGATAATCCAGGTCTACTATGCTAATCAAGACTGCATTAAGGTCGGCATCATTTAAAGTAAATGCAACCTTGTTTTTAATGAAAACTTATCGTTACTATTTCTTCCTAAGCAAATATCAGATTTTCATAAAATTTGTCACAAGGATTCGGAATGTATATAGAACTTCACATCAAAACATACAGTTCTTTTGATTAGGATGGCATAGCTGAGAGTAAAGGTTGACATAGCCCTAAATTGCAAAGCACATAGGCTTAGCGTCACGCACTAAACTGTCGTAATTTCAAAGCACTTTAACAAAACTGAAATGCTACAATGAAAAATCTCAGTTAATACAGCCAACTATAGACATCCGGTAATTGATTTTAATAATGTTTTTAGTTTAGGAGGCTTGTAAGGGTTAAGCTTGAACCTATTACAGTGTTTTTAGATGTCGTAAATGCGTTTTGAATTAATTACAATAAAAATAAATTTCACTACAAATTGCTTATAACGAAATGCAGATGTATGCAAATCAGTCCATTTTTCAAAACACAGATACTCATAACAGTATGTTTGCACTGAGAAACATCCAACACGTAATGTATTGAAACAAATCGCATATAATAAATTACACATACATGTTTTGTTGATGGTGGCGTTCGCACTCACAAAAACTGTGTAAAATTTTCAACTGATATTCAAACTTATCTTTCAACATGACAATATTTCCACAAACTTGTTGTCAAACCTTTTATTTCTGTAGTTATAGATATAATATAGTATAATATACAATAATTAAAAAAGCTGAAGGTACTCCGGGTTTAATAATGACATCGGGACATCAGTCACCTCAGTCCCCCGTGACCATGGGTGCTGGAAAGCACCCGAAACGTCGCGAATTAAAAATAAAAATAATTCAAATTAAATGCGATAGAATCCGTAAAAGTAGTTTTAATCAAGATATAATATAGTTAAAATATGTAATGTACAATAAACTGTTAAACATATTTTACAACAACATGTTCTTTGAATATGCAAACGCTTTTGATACACTGACAGTAAACAGTGTCTAAAACATGTTTTTTTGAAAATAGCGTGCAAACGCACCGTAAAAAAATTGACCCAGACATACATCACTTCCATTTGAAGATGAAGAAAAAAAATTAAAATAATTCACATTACATTGTTTCATTTACCAATATCATAGCAGAGTTTATGGCAACTTGACTTTATAGATAAGATTGGTCGAATCTGTTCTAAAACTGAATCAGCACGCTCCGCATAGCCTTTCTGTCGTACCCCTACAGTGTTTATAAAATCGTAGGCACAGAGGTAGAGCAGCCCCCACCTGCCGTAGCAAATTGCAGGCAGGTATGGGTGCCCGCGATTTACTATGCACGGGTGAAGGGGCTGCACTTCCTGTAGCGCCGTAGCTGTTGCAGAAGTAACTTTGGGCCAATATTCCTGTGTAAAAAGTGAGGTTATGATATTACAAAAAAAAACATTACTCATAAACTATACATTTTTGCAAGGGGGAAGGGTAGGGGGGGCTTGTCCTGCACACACCTCTCCCCCATCCACCATCCCACCCCCGTACAGATGTCTATAGTTCTAACAAATGGTATAATAATATTACGTGGTAACCAAGGTAAAACAAATGAGAGGAAGAGAACCAGGGGCCCCCCCCGGACCCAAAAAAAAGGGGGGAACGGAAAAGTTCCTTTTACAAGCATATATTTATATGAGGAAATGCTTACGGATAATTGATGTGCCATTAGCAAAACAAAAACTACATATTAAACATAATTATGTTGTAGTTGTTCATTATAGGCCATCAAAGTTCCAATGGTGAATGCATCCCTCATAAAGGGAAGATAGTTAGCAAACTAATCGGTTCTTGGATTGATTCACGAATTGGTTACCCAGATTGATGCATGAAATCTATTACTTGATGCCAATTTTTCGTTTAATTGATCTCAGATTGAACCTAAGACCTTAAAATACTTTACATTCCCATGTAAAAATCCACTGAAGTGTACATTAACATTGTTGTACATTCATGAAGACCATAATCACCTTTAAAATTATTTTACATGATATTAAAGCCAACCCTTGAAAACTTACCCTCTTCTTTTGTATTTATTTGCATTTCCTCTAAATACTTGATAAAAGACTTCTCACTCTCCAAAACTTTATATTTGAATTCTTTTGCATCCCGCAGTTTTCCAATGCAGTTTTCACAAATTAGTCGACTGTAACGGCTCGGTCCTCCATACTTTTGAAATGAAATCTGAAATATTTATTCTTTTCAAAGTAATGAAACACTCATTATTATAAAGCTGGCTTTCCACGATGGGATTTCCACTATATATATTATATCTCGAAATATAAATTATATCCCGCGATTGCCCTTCACACTGTGCGATATAGCTTTTAACCAGTGTGCGTTCGTCATTGGACGATCTGAGGATGTAGCTGAGGCACGGAAGGGTGTGCGGGGTACAGGAGGTGAAATATAATATGAAAATATTGCCTGGTCGATCGAAAAAATATTTATAGTTTGGGATGTAAAATATATTATACATCTCAGTGGAAACGGTTCCATTTAAAAGTACGGTGAGCGAAATTAATTTATATCTCGAGATGTAATATAAATTATATTATATCCCATAGTAAAAATTGAGCTTAATTGTAAATCCCTTCCCAGTTAGAAAAATTCAATTTTTCACGACTACAAAAAATAATAAAAATATAAGACGTAATTTTGGTTGAAATTAGAATGAATTATGAAGTGGGGGGCCACTACAACTCCCCCGCCTCAATCTCCACTACCTCCCACCCCTTAATTCATTTTGAGTTATGATTTTGAGGTTAGTTCTATGGGATTTTCTTTTTGATTTTTCTCAAGAATGGTGCATTACCTTTTAATGGTATTGTTATAATCGGTGACCAAACCTCTACCAAATAAAACACCTTACTTCCCCAAATTCCTGCCAAACGATTCTAAATCAAACCCGTAATTTTTTTAAAATATCTAACAGAACTTGTAATGGTAAAAAACCAATATCAATAGGTTGCTCGACAGTATACCACAGCTTACTTTTAAATATACATAATACGTACCTCTAAATTAAAAACATCTTTCAACATTTCTTCGTAGATTTCCTTCTTTCCTGAGAAAAAATATTCACTAGAAATATCTTTGTAACAACCTTCTACAAGACAACAACGGCACAGATTTATTGGAAAGGTTTCTTCGATGCTGTTTGGATTAAAAATATCCATTTTAACTGAAAAAAAAAATACTAAACTTAAACAAAGTAACTATGAAAATAAACAGGGTGGGCTCATAAACATTAAACAGTTTATTACAAGTTAGAAGGTTTGAAAACAAACATCAATATTTAACAAATGTACAAAATTTCAATCAACAACATTGATTTGATTTCTTATTTTCATTGATTTTCATAGATTACACTCACAGAATACATCATAGAGTAGAGTAATAATATATTGGAATACATTTACCCTGACTAACTAAAGTTGTTCAAGACGACTATAAATCAATAGCACGCTACAGACTATAAACTAGAAATTTCTAGCGCGCTATTAAATACGCTATGTTATAGCGCGCTATTTATAAAAAAGTGTGTAGGAGGCCGGCAAGCGCGTTAAGTTTAGCAGCACGCTATATCTCGGAGCACGTTTATATGTGGTAGAGCCATGCTGTAGTTATATTAGTAGTATAGTTGTAGCACGAATGGGTTGGCTCGACCGGGGAAGGACCACGCTCTCACAGAATACCAGCGTGAAAAAGTAGCTTAATACTGCTGTATTTCGTATGGTGAGTGTAGAGAACCGGAGACCCTTTTTACTGGAAACGAGGCGTTCCATCTTAGTCCTCACAGGTGACAACGCATCTGCATTTTGATTCGTAATCGATGATAGATGTAGATGTCTATGGGCCACAGCAACCACTTACCATCAGGTGGACTGTGTGCTCGTTTGTCACCCTATCCTATAAAAAAAACGCTACATTACATGACATTCATTGGATAGACCGCGTGCTATATAAGAACATTGCTTTGTAATAAGTCGCATTTTAGATTAAAATAAAATAAATTGGTAAAGAAAAATTAAACAACGCTCTTTCATACTTTTCAGACTTTTTATAATCCTAAAAATATTTTTAAGGACTGTAACTAAATAAAATTAATCATTTTTTATTATAATTAATGTAAACGTTATTTTAACCTTATTATAAATTATTAATCAAAGGTGTATTTAAAAGATTATTAATTGTATATACAAAATCAACTATTTACAAACACTATTATATACACTTTTTATCTAAATTCATTTACATTTAAAAACATTAGTTATGCTTCTTTTGCAGCAGACAACTGTGTTCTTCGATCACTTATAAATATACAGTATACACTAACTAAATAACGTCTGACACTAAATTAGTTCGCGCGCGATGAATAGCGTGCTGCTAGATTAAATTTGCGTCACACGTCTACTCCCAACAGCGCTGCTGCTAGAACTAATTATCGCTTGATATTAATAGCGCCAAAGCGTCATAGCGCCATGGTGACTACCTATATAGCACGCGCTATGCGCTAAGAAGAGATAGCGCGCTATAATATGGCGCTATGCGCTATATTAACAATCAAGCCCATTTATGCTCTAAGCCATTAACCCTGACGGGCTTATCTAATATCGTAGACAGAGAAACCTATAGACTAATGATCGGCGTGGCCTCGAGTGAGAAAGGACGATAACGAATTTTTAGGTTATACAATAATCTTTATGACTTTTAAACACGTTTAAATAAAAAATTAAATTGTACTAAGAATTGAACTGAACAAGATTCACCAATCTTAAGCTCACATAACACTTTTTTCTCACTTAAACCAACTTGTAACTTCCTTAAATCACTACGCTATCAAAGTTGTTTAGCAAACTGTAGAGTTAGCTAAACAAAAAAACCGGCACGGAGAAAGGGACAAACAATCACACCGCTCTATCTCATTTCTATGCAAGACGTATGCATAAATCTATCTTTTTCGTGTGCAAATGCGAAAGAAGGCGTCAATTTGTCTATAGGTTTCTCTGTCTACGTCTAATATCTATGTCATAGATAAATACCGTAGACAGCAGGATTCTCTCTCTACGATATATATATATATATATATCTACGATGTATAATTTATATACATAGTAATATTATAGTATATTTTCAACGAAACGCTTCCTTCCTCTCTCTACGCTTTCTTGTTTGTTCACAAACTAGTTCTTAGAAATAAAACGAAACTGTAGAACGTACGTCGCCAGTATGGAGTGTAGAAGCACAGTATAATAAAAATATATAATCTATACCTATATATTGCTTAGTGTTGGTGTGTTCTGAATTTTGTGATGAAGCACCTGCTAATTCATGGTCTCCTCGAGCTATTTTTGGTATTACAATATGGCGTTTTTCGGAGAGTTCCAATTTTACATCACTTAAAATTTTGACTTTAGGATCAGTCTGTGTACGGATCGAGTCGTTGGTTGGTAAAAATAACGTTGGTATAGAGGTTTTCTTCAGTGATTTCTTCCCGTACATACTCTTTTCGAAATGCAAACTGCAAATGTACGTATTCTTTAGGCTTTCGAAAGTTTTTCCTACTAAATCAAGTCTTCCAATAACTTCCAGCCATAATTTGCATCTAAAATTTTTAAATACAATACTTATTATTAAATTTTCATAATTATCACCCACAAACCTCAAAATTAACATCCCTAACATTAAAAAAATGATGTCCACCATCTTGGATTTAAAAATAAATTCCATTTTCGTTATCAGCACCCCAAAAAACCTCGAAATTGATAGTACCCATATCATATTATTAAAAAATGTCCACCATCTTGGATATGAAAATGGTTGCCAGTTTCGTAATAAGCACCCCAAGAAACCCTGAAATTGATACCCATATCATATTATTAAGAAAATGTCCGCCATCTTGGATATGAAAATGGATGCCAGTTTCGTAATAAGCACCCCAAGAAACCCCGAAATTGATACCCATACCATATTATTAAAAAAATGTCCGCCATCTTGGATATGAAAATGGATGCCAGTTTCGTAATAAGCACCCCAAAAAACCCCGAAATTGATACTCATATCATATTATTAAAAAAATGTCCGCCATCTTGGATATAAAAATGGATGGCGTTTTCGTAATCATCACCCCAATAAACCTTGAAATTGACATCCATATCCTACATATATAAAAAAATGACCGCCATCTTGGATTTAAAAATAAATGCTATTTTCGTAATTAGCACACCGACAAACTTAAAAATTTACCCCTAAATCTTAATTTTAAAAAAAAAAAAATTCGAAAGACCGAAGACGAGGCACTATAGTATGGTCTAAAACCTTAGCCTGTCCAACCACACGATTTAGATGAAGAAAAATCAGTAATGCCCAGCGACTAGTACCTATTTTTTACGTCCGCCATTTCTTTTACGTTGGCTATTTGGCATGACATGACAAAATATACATAATGTAAAAAATAATAACAATATTTATTTACCTTTCTTCCGTGTGCGGAATTTGGTGAAATCGCAGATCTTTATTTATGCGAGATGACGACTTGCAATCTCTCACAGCACACGTCGTATGAACCATTTTAATTATAATTATCAACACTAAATTTAAAAATAATAAAAGCAAGCGCGCGTTAACCCTGGAAGTCGTGTCCCGAGCTACCATAGATTACTCTATATGTATACTAGGGACGAGCTACTAATACGATTGGCATAAGCAGATCGGGCTCGTCCTTCCCGCGTCTTAAATAAGGGTGGCGTCACTATAGCTACGGGGTAAATTTTAAAGAACGCACCAAAAAATATTAGTGGGATAGACGACTTTTTCGGGGTTATATTTACAAAATAAAATTATTTTAGATATTAGGGCTACTGATCAGTTTAGCAGCACACTTAAACTGGAGACAACTACTAAGTTCATTTCATCCCAGTAGCTACTCCAGCGCTGTGGTGAAGAGTTTTTGAGCTGTTATTTACTGCTTACAGATGACCACTTTTTCAACTATTCTACTATGGGAGTTGGTACTCCTTACTTCTACACTCCATAGTTGCCAGATGAAACGGTTGATTGTTAGGTTGATTGTTGAATTTTTGTCACAGCGGCTAGTCCCCACGGAGACTAGCCGATCTGCACAATACATATAGTGTCCGAATGTATGCGCAAGCACAGGTGCACTCTCTATTCCCTCACAATCATCAAATAGCAATCCGACACGCTCCGAGAGAGCTTAGGTGCAGAACCAATAATTTACACATAATTTAATAGCTTCTAATGTCAAAGCCTTCTTCAATACAATTAGTCTTTGCACATTATGGCAACTGAAACCAGGTCAAGCTTGTACACTCATATATCTTGTAGAGGGATATTGCACTTGACGGATCTACAAGATGCAGGAGTGTACAAGCTTGATTATGAGTGTGGTCTCTCGTACATAGGACCAACAAAAAGATTTACAAGAGCCCACGTAAAAGAAAATATAGCTTACGTGAAGCACCGACGTTCCGGGTAGTCTGCATTCTGTATACATGTTCAAGATTGACCCTGCATAGATATCATAGACCACAAATTCTCGCATAAGAACACTGATTAGCACCTAGGATGATTCGCGATGATATTAAAATTAAAAAACATCCTAATTTCAGTTTTTCAACTTCATTTCGCTTGTATTTGCGTATGCGTGTGTGTACACGGGTAAACTTGTAAACATCTCATAAATTTGTAACGGAGTGTACGATCGAAAAGCGATTCTGAAATGGCCTCGCTGAACTTATATTTCTTGTGAATTTAGACCGAATCGGCATGGTACATTCTGAAAAACACAAAAGCAAAAAAAAAAGCTCTTCTACTCAAAACACGACGTCAATTACTGCAGACCGACTCGAAATTAGTTGATTCGTTCGAAAGATATCGTTGTATAACAATACTATCCTGAACGAAACACGTGAAATTTGAAGCGCTTTGCATTTGAAATTACCAGGAAATTGCAGGGATGATATGTAGGGTCAACCGTATTTTTATAACAGAGCTAAGTATGGTGTATTACTGAACATTGGTTAAAATCTTAATGTTTAACTTCAGTAATCACCAGATGGACAGTTCGTTCAATAGAGAAACGGTTTTACGAGGTGGCTACTTAACGTGTAAAGAACGTAAAGATATTGTGAGCCTCTCTGTTGAGCGAACTGTA